AAGTATACTGTTAAGTCAATGGGGAAATTAAAAATCACCTCAAATTCACGGCGCGACTTATTAAAATGTGACTAGTGAATACTGTTAGGTTAGTGTTTTCATCACGGAGTGATATCATCTATAATGTGAGGGTCCTAAAATACTTATCTTGATTCCTAGTATAGTAAGTTACTCATTTATATTCGCTGTCTGCTGATTGGCCAAGATGTTTTATACTCCATGGTTGTCCAGAGGTATAGTTTAGCTTTTCTGTTGTTTTTTTAATTGTTTTCAGGTAACATGAAGAGCTTGTTGGTTATTTACGAGAAAAACGTTGTCGCCGCTATATGATCATTACCAAATGAGGAAGCAAAAATATTGGATCTCAAAGTGCTCTTTTAAAGATATCTATGTAGGCCCAGGAGTAGAAGCCCTTAACTACATGTAATTGTGAAAATGTACCTGTTTGGCTAAGGAGGGAGCAAAGAAGTGATAGAGAATTTACAAAGAGCTATTCGTACTCAATATGCAAAATACTACATGAGCATAGCTTAAGGATTGACTAAGAATTCAAAGTTTTGTATCAAATTCCCAACCATTTTGTTGAAGAGATCAAGTAAAATTAAACCTGGATAATACACCCGATAAAGTGAATTCGTTCTGTTTCGTTCTCACTGGTTGACAAGATGATCATTTCATAGATTATCAGATGAGCTACTTCAACTTTATATTGTAAACATTACTCCTAATCCTGTGTTTTTAAGTTTGATATTTTTTCTTATCACTAACGCAACGTTTTTCCTATGTATTCATGGTTCACATGATGATGATACTAATAAAATTAACTTTCATATGATTTTCACTTGTTTGATTATCGTTCATCACGTTCTGTTGCCTATGACTAAAGATCGAACAGGTTAATAAACACATACTCACAAAAATACACTTCGTATTATCACTTACTTGTATGAGCTTATAAGTTTGTTGAACAGGTTTTACAAATATTTAAGTCATAATCTATTAGAAATCCGAAGTTCACTTTTTCCTAATTTTAAGACCATATAAATGTCAAATGACCACCTTAGTACATAATGCCATTTGTGAGTACTATTAAGAGACCAGAATAGAGTAAAATGCTATCTAATACCGTGCTAAAATGTGAGGTACGGCGTTTTGCATCTGCAAGCAGTGACAGTATATCAGATGAAGAATGAAAATTTATGCAGTATCGGCTAGACAAATGAAATGGAAAAGTGGGCTTATATGAAAAAAACTTCAAATATCAAGAACTGCTGAAACTATGCAGGACATATACAAATTAAACTTAACTTTTCTACAAGTAGTATTGCTTTGAATGGTTTCAGACATTATAGGATTGTTACGACAGAATATATGAACTAGATTAGTGGCCTATCTTAAATGTATCATCGACGTTTTTAGGTGAAAAATAATTAGCGTTAAATAATATCAGGTTTACTTTTTTCAATCACAGATAAGACTAGTGAATATTGCCTACACCAACAATTTCAGATGATGAAATTTTCACTATATTTTTGTGCTACTACAAAATGTAAGTAGTCAATTGTTTGTAGCTAAATTATTTCAAATGTAAATATGAGGAAATCATTTAACACAGTAGCACACTGATACTAACATTATCAAGGGTTTTTTGATATAAGTACTTCAACTTTCAATAACCAACAGTTTTACAAGTTTTCTTCCTTTTGAAATATAAACTAGTCTTCAAGTAAACAACTATTTTCGATGCAACTATGAGTATATATATAACTCCATAGATGTCTATGCCTTATGTTAAAACAAAAATGAGTTGGGGTGAAACTTAAATACGAATTCTAAATTTTATTTAGAATTAGTCTATGAGTCGTTTTATCAATGTGTGTTTATAAAAATGAGACTATTTTATTGAACATAATTGTTATTAATAAAGTCCAGACTAAGTTATGAATCTTACACCCATTTTCAAAAAAAAAATAAATTCTTAAAACCAGGTTTGTACAAAGAAAAATGACATGATTATTCTTAAAATCTTTTATAATTATGATACCATTTCAGAAAATGTGGGGGGGGTTATTAACATGGATATCATACTACAATAATTATGTTTTACTCCCCGAGATACCTTATTCGTGATTTGTTTTGAATGATTCACTTTTTTTCCACCCAATACATTTCTAACTGAACATAAACCATGTATTCTGGTGCATTTCGCATTTACATTTTATTTACAACATGATAATAGACTTCATACATTGGAACATCAAAACATGGGCGTATGTAGTCAGCATTATATTAAAGTTTAACAGAAAAAACTTGAAAATGTTTATAACTGTTTTAAACTGGATGCAAGTATTTAACTTTATTTTTGAATTAGCTAGTTATAACCATTGCAATAACCTCTTAACGATTAAACTTAGTTTGAACTAATGTGCTCGAAAGGAAGTGGAAATCGATATGTTTTACATGATGGAAACGTTAACAATTTTAACGTTTCAAATCTTAATTTTGTGCGCTAACGTAACATATACAAAATCTTATCTTACCAAACATCTACAAGTTAAATTTTTCATACTCAGTAAACTAGTTGCTCATACATTATTCTGGTCTGTAAAATGTTTAATTTCTGGCATTGAATCAAGGAGTTTGTTGAACTTTCACAATTCCATATTCAAAATTATGGTGTCCTCTTTAATGCGTACTGACGAAGTCTCATACTAGAATGAAATCACTCTGCAATAATTCCGGGTTTTCGAAGGTTGTCTAACCTAGATCGGTTTACAATTTCAACAAAATTTTTAACCATTTGCTACTAACACTTCTATGCTTGCGGATTTCTTCAATTCTTTCAGCTCTGCCAAGCAGACAATTATCTATCAATTTATTTATTTTTCCTTTTAACCTATCGATTGTTGCTCAAATATCTTTTGACGCCTGGAATTTTGAAACACTGTAATAAAGATTCTTTTTTCTTCCTTCCAATAGACCATTTTATTTGTTAAATCAAAATAAACGATTGTACAATATGAATAAGTAATTGATTAAACAAGAAAATTTCTTATTAAAGTTGTCTGTAACTTCTTCAATGGCGAAATCAGTTATTTTTGTTACCATAAATATATGTACAAATGTAAATCTACCTATTTTTGACTAAATACTAAGAAAATCAAGGTAGATCTAGATTCAAGATTTAAAAAAAAAATCGAGCGTTTAAACTAATTTAGTCATCTGTTGTAGGCGAGAGTCTGTCGATTTCGTTCAGACTAATAATTATCTGGTTTGAAAAGTGTGGTAACATTTGATAAGTTATGATTTTAAACTGTACTTTCAGTGAATAAATAATCTATAAAGTTTGATCCAGTCGTTACTCAAGAAGTTAAGTTAATTTATGTCCATATATTGTTTATTCCAGTATTGCATTTATAACTATCCATTAAATAAATTGAGAATTTCTTCCTTGTAGTCATTTAATGAAGTGTATATTAGAGCAGATATTTTATATGAAACGTCGCTGGGTTCCGAGTCTTTACAGAACTCATACGCTTGAGATAGTTTTCTGTTTCATATAATGACATAACTCTATATTCACTTATAAATAGACGCTTTAATTTATTGTATTCTAACTAGTCAACACATAGCAAGCAATATATTACAGTTGGTACTTGCAGTTCAACACTCTTTTGACCATTCAGGATTGTTGTTAATAGATTATAATTTCAATTATTGAACGCTGTTTTAAAATCTATATCTATGCATAAGAGACTTCACTTCATCAGATATTTGAACTTTATTGAAGTCCCAGCTTGTTCAGGTAATATGAATATGTAATGACAAACTCGGAATGTGCTTAAATGTGATATGTTTTATTAATTCGATAGTTAACGACAATTTTAAATTGTGTAAAGAATGTCCTTATAGTTAAATATATTATAAAAGTAGGTAATATGGTTGATTCGAGAACTGCTTTTAAGTCTTTATGTAGAAATCTTTTTAGGTGAATGTTCAGTTTATTCAACGTTACAGTCACATTTATTTCCATATACAATGATGAGTTAGCGAATTACAATGTTTCCATTTCACACCACTTATATACATGTATCTTATTAACTAATAATGTTCATAACTATAGAAATTGAAACCAAGGTGTAGCATAGATGTAACTATTATATACATACCAATTCCCAATATAAATATTTTCAAATCAGGATTATTTTTAACATAGAACTATAATTTTCTGACATCTATCAAAATCTTCTTTTAAATGTTAATTAGTTTACTCATAAAAAAAGATTTACCTTGAGTTCATAAAATGAGTCCATGTTCAATAAACTATAAAAGAGCTTCCAGGTTTTCAATGGTGGTCTAGCTTCAACTGACTCATGATTTAAATCTGTGAAAATTTCTAAAATCTCCACAAACCCCTTCTGATAATAATCATCTGCTCACTAGTGACTGACTTCAAGAGATACTCCTGGAGTTCTAGTGAGAAGCCGTTACCAGTGGAGTTCAACCAGGTCTGTTGTGAGATATCAGCTCACTGAAGACAATGGTATATGGTGGCGCAACTTCGTGGATTAGTTGAAGTTAGACATTAACACCGTTGGATGCTGGCTCAGTGGTCCAGTGGTTAAGTGCTCAGGCGCGAAACCAGTAGGTCCTGGGTTCGAATCTCGCAGGAGGCGAGGTCGTAGATGCACACTGCTGAGTAGTCCCACAATAGGACGAAACGGCCGTCCAGTGCTTCCAGGTTTTCAATGATGGTCTAGCTTCAACTGACTCATGATTTAAATCTGAGAAAATTTCTAAAATCTCCACAAACCCCTTCTGAAAAAATTATTTGTTTAATTATTTTCTTACAGAACCCAGCCCTCAATTCACATATTATATTGTCTCTTTTTTTTAAATTTTTTTGTGACACCCTTTGGTGACATTGTAATTATGATGAATCATTTAATATACTAGGTCAACAGGTTACATTTACTTAGTTACAAAAGTATATAAAGAAAATGAATAGACTTTTAAAACATTTACAAATTGAAATTCAAATGGATTTTTTCAATCTTGTACATACATTTCTTTTTCTTTTGTATATATCTAAACAATGTACATCAGTTTGTAAATTATCAAATGATTATAAATATGTAAGTATCATTTATGATAGCTACTATTAATCATTTCTAGTATCATTCAAATATTCAAGAAAGTATAACTAAACAAAAGGTTTTTATAAAGCAATTGAAAGTGATACCATACTACACAAAATCTATTAGACAACATGCTAATTTCACAACAATACGAGTGAGTTATTAAACTATTTCTTATCATCATTATTATTTGCTTTTGAAGAATTTGTTGATTTAGTTAAATTCACAAATAGATTAGAAGAAATAAGTTTATTCTGTTTAACAACCGTATTCTTCATCTCATTGAAACTATTTTGTTCTTTCGTATTTCTTAATTATTGTAGACGAAAATAATAGAACCTGCTATAAAGATGTGGCAGACACTATTAAAAGTAAAAGCAAGATCTAAACATCTAATTTATTTATCCAGGTAAATAAAACTTGTTTTTATTATTCATTATTATTTATTTACTTATTTGAACATATGAATATTGGTATAAGGGGGCATCAAACACATATGCGCCACATAAGTCGCTTCGTTTGTGTGTGGGCTGTGATATTGCCTGGGTGCTCAGACTGAAGCAGGTAGTTTTCTTGGAGAGCCACATTCGGAGCCTTTGATCTAAAGGTCTGATTCACAAAACAGTTGGACTACGTCAGGAGATGCAGTCTCATAGTAGTCGGTGACCAACAGTTGGTTCATACGCCTTTTGTTCCTTCAGGATCCTGGAGCCCATGTACACCATTGGTTTTGAATTAGGGTTTTCCAACTCTCATAGGTGAACTCTCCGTGTCCACTCATCCGGTTCAAGTGCCAGGCATTCACTTTTCGTCCTCTCAATTTTGTAAAAAGCACGCCCGCTACGAGGAGGCAGTGAGTAGGACTTCCCTGGTAATAGGTGAATACGCTTGGTCATGTGAGAGCATTTCAAGGGGGGAGAGTTGGCTCTCCATATCCTCGGCCTTATCAGGGCGTTTGAGGGCTACTATTCATTACTTCTTCATATTAATTTATTAAACTCTTATTTTATTTATATATATAATAATAATTTCAAGAATTGCATTAAGTGTATGTTAGTTGAATAACGGAATGTTAATAATTCAATATGACTTATATTGTTGATTTTCATTAAAAAACATTTTAATACGAAGAACCGAAATAACTTTGAAGATGAAAGAGAATTATGCATTGCTCTTTATTTCTTCAAGTAATAATTAATAAAGTAGATCTATATAAAGTTCAGATCTTAAATTCAAGAAACATTTCAAAGTATTTTACAAAATGTGATGACTTGAGTTTTGAAAACTTAAATCCATTGGGTTATGATTAAAAAAACATAATACAAATTGAAGTAATTGTGAATTGAACTAATGTAAGATAAAAATAAATAATAAATAGCTTTATATATCTATAATGATCTAATGTTACATTTTAAATCACCGAGTGACTTAATTCGTATTAAAATCACCATGAATTTTAAACTAAGCTATAGATCGTAGTTAAAATATACAAGATTAGATGTAAGCAATACTGTTTCAAGAAGTGTCTTAGTGTTATTAATACTTTCTAAATCAATTGATGGCACACCACCATTGAAAACCTGGAAGCACTCGACGGTCGTCTCGATCCCGTCTCAGTGGTTTAAAGGTTAACCGTCTTCACGCAAGACCGAAGGTCCTGGGTTCGAATCCCATGGATTCACATTGTTGAGGAGTCCCACAATATATGAAAACAGTCATCCAGTGCTTCCAGCTTTTTAATGGTGGCATAACATATATCGACCATGATCTCAATCAAAATGTTACCCATCTCCACAACTCCATACTGTTAACTTTCTAAATCAGAGTAATTTATTGTTAATAACATTGTATTTTTTTGTTTTGCTAAAGAAGTTGCATAAATCATTCTAAAGACGCAAAGATACTTCCTAATGGTACACGGTTTTATTACTGTAGAGAAGGATGTAAGGCGGTATCAGAATGTTATCATGGTGTTATTCCAGAAATGTACTTAGATGTAAGTGAATTTCATTAAGTGATACAATTACTATTTGATCTAACAAAAATTGCAACCATTTTTAAGCTTTCTGAAAAGAACCTATCCGTTTGTTTATTTTATTCTAAAGAATATTTGGTGTTTATTTATCCTTTATTGTAAAATTTACGAAGAATTCACTTTATTTCGATTCGCTTTAATACTTCAAATCTATAAAGATAGAAAATTTCGAACATTGATTACATCAAGATAGACATTATTATTTGCAATTTTACACTGTGAAGATTCTACTGAGCAGAAAGAAATTTTAGAAGAACTGATTCTTTGACATCAGCACAAAATTGTCATTGTTTATATGGAAGTCAAAGTGCATTTCTAAGCAGAATAAATCCGAGTAGAATAATAACAAAAAATAGAGAAAAATAAATTCAACCTTTAGTTTACCATAGATATTATCACTGGTATTTATTATCTATAATATAACCATAGTTAATGAAACGATTCCTATTTGGTTTTATTATCAACAATTCAACAGCACAAACAATTTCTTTTCTAGTTTCAAGGTGATTTTTCTGAATACTCAACAAATTGCCAATGTAGTTATTTAATAATAAGAACTGAAAGCTAATCATTTAATGTATATTCTCATAGGTTTAAATCATGAGTCCGTTGAAGCTAGACCACCATTGAAAACCTGGAAGCACTGGACGGCCATTTCGTCCTGGTATGGGACTCCTCAGCAGTGCGCATCCACGATCCCGCACCACGCGAGGCTCGAATCCAGGACCTACTGGCTTCGCGCGCGAGCACTTAACCATTAGACCACTGAGCCGTCATCCAACGCTCTTAATGTCTAACTTGAACCAATCCACGAAGTTGCGCCACCGTACACCATTGTCTTCAGTGAGTTGTTATCTCACAACAGACCTGGTTGAACTCCACTGGTAACGGCTTCTCACTAGAACTCCAGGAGTTTTTCTTCAAGTCAGTCACTAGTGAGCAGTTGATTATTATCATGATTTAAACCTGTCAAATTTCTTAAATTCTCCACAAAACCCATTCTGATAATAATAATGTATATTCTATTGATAAACAATCAAACCATTAATTATATTAATAATGTTCAATGAACATTAGGGTTTATTCATGAGAACAATTTAATTTGAAATTCTTGAAATGGTTTGAGAAAATCGAGTTGTTGTCTACTGAAGGTTTTATTATTTGAAGCTTCAATTAATTATTCTCTGTAGAAGAATATGTAAATCAATTATCAGGTATTTTAGAAAAGCAAGATTTGTATTTTTCATATTTATTAAACTACTCACTAAATTACTTATAATTTATTATTTATAACTAGTACTGCCATACATATGTACATGGACAACCCAAAATAAGTGGACATCGTGGAAAAGGCATAAAGTTTCATCACTTATTATATATTGTTGATTCCCAGTCAATTTCCCTTTGTCGAAGTGGAAACACTGTGGGTTATGCACAGTTTTGCAGGTTGGATGGACTAACAGACAGGTTAGTTGATTTAGGACAAACAAACTTGGAAGAATCATATTTGTCTGTATTGTGTCTCTTTATTAATTAGTAGAAACAAAATTTATAAACTTTATAATTAGCACAAGTTCTAGTTATCTATGCAATATGTACTGGATGTTATGACATGAAATCAATTTTGTAAATTATGTAGTTACGGAACGGAACTTATATAATGTATGTTTGGAATTACGAATTGATTGTTTTTCACTTAATATACATTTCAAGAACCACTAAACATTTATTCAAAATACATTTATGGTTAATGTCCTAAAAAAGTGCGATGTTTGTGGAATAAAACTAAGTTCATGACTTTGTCTAATCATTCTGTCATAGGACGAATGTTATTTAAATTATGATTTTATATTTCAAACATTTAAATGTAGTCTCCAGTCAGAAATCATCTAACCTGAAAACTCCATAGGATTAAGAATAACCATAAATTGAGTTTATTCTTACTTGAAACTTCCTAAACTTATCTTTAGCGAGTCACTAAACTTCCAGGTTGAAAATAATTTTTGATAGTAATAATGATTTTTAGACATGTTTTTCTTCAAAACATACGAGATGGTACAGTAAAGTTTGCACTGGTGCTGCTTAACTCATTCACTATACTCCTTTAAATGCTGACTTTAGTGTAAGTTCTTCCTTTTCATTCTTTACTTTTTATTTCTTACACTTGGATTTTCAACGCGTTTGATATAAAAGTCCTTTTTAATTTTTATTTGGTTGATTTCTTCTCTTGTTGGTACCAGGTTCAATGTTGATGGTGACTATTTGACTAGCTGTTATGTTAAACTATTGACGACTGGTAACTAGTTGGAGTATAATTTACTTTTTTTAACAGTTCGGTAGTAATTTAATTTATTTCATTTTGTAGGCCAATAGCTGGCTACACAAATCTCTGCCCGAATAACATAGAACTTGGTTATGAAAATATTAGACTGGCTATTTCAACTATGGCACACGAATTGGGCCACGTTTTGGTAATCTGCATTGATTTATTTTTAAAATAAGAATAAATATAGTTTTCTAAACTGATAGTATATAAATGTGTATTTAGTCACTATTGTAACTAATCCTATATTCATGGTCAAACACATAACTAGCAATTAATGACCACCGGAACAGATATTTCAAGTTTAATCTTCAAATTTATTCATTATGTCTGAGTAGAATTTAAGGAAATTTATTCATGAATTTTGAATTATGATAACGAAATGTTCTCATAGCCTCAGTGGGGCTCCAGATAGAATTTGAACAAGTTTAAGAGATTTATCACAAATTAATACCATATCATCGTTTCTTAGGATATCGGTGCTAAAAACGTAATATTTTTATAATAGTACATTAAATTGATTTTCATTATACTAGTTAATGTGACATTTGATGATAGGCTTTTAATATGGGAACTCAATTTTTTTCTAGTATTCTCTTATATTTTACTAATCCAATCAGTTTTCATTTATATTTTAAAAAGGGTTTCAACTCGGAAGCTTTCAGATATATGCGAGACGAGCGTGGTGAACCAAGAACGATGCGTGAACCTGCTACGAATGAGCCTATTTTAACGGATTCACTAGGATACAGAATTCCAGAGTGAGAAATAATTGTTTTGATGTGAAATATGGGTCATTAAAACTTCATTATTCCGTTTAGTTTGAAATGATAAATTTAACAGAATCTCTAATTTTAGAGTGTCATCTATCGAAATATAATTTGATCCAATAAGCTTGATTTCTTAACAGACTGAAGTTGAAATTTTGTGTGAATTTTTTTAAAAGTTTTATATTGCCCATGATCTTCCACAATAGACACAGAAAATAAAAATAATATTCTATTATATAATGAATCCTATAAAGTACAGTTAATTTAGATGAACGGTCACACTAACACGAGTTATAACTAAGAACAAAAAAATAATATTGAACTATCCTAGATTCATACTTTGTTTTGTTAATTAGATAAAAACCAAACATGTTTGACAACTATTATCATCCATAAGGTTAATATGTATGGTAATATATATACATATTCCCAGTAAACCACATGTTAAAATTATTATCTAGACATATCCTGGGTAAATTAAATTAAAAGCCATATTACTTTACAGTAAAGCTTATTACTTATCCAATCATTAAGACAATGTAGTAGTTAAGATACATATAGTACAGGTGTTTTGTTAAGTCTAACTATTCTTCTTATTTCACTCTCAAAGATACAAAATTACTGTGACATCATAAGGCCTTGATGAACTGTATGATCTTGAAAAAAAAGTGTTTAGAAGTTATAATAATTGATCCAAATGTCATCGTAAACGAAATATTTTTGTATTATTGTTTTGAAACGTTTAGCGAATCAGTTTTAAGCAATGTTACTCGTATTTGGAAGTCTGCTAAAACAACAGTTTATCGCCATTTGACTGCGCTTAAAACACCAATGATGCTGGTGAGTTTGTTTTTAATTGCATATATAAACGTCTGCTATGTTGAAGAAATTGAGTAACGTTAATTTTATGTCGAGTGCTTAAAAATAGTCTTGAATGGTAGAGATAATGTTGAACAAATTAACGGTTTACGGACGTATTTGAACTAATTATCTATGTGCTACCAGCTTACTAAGTCTTGATCCTCACATGATGACTTGATTTACACTTTATTTCAGTTGACAATTTTCTATTATCTTTTCTTGTGAAGGAGAGGATATCATGTAAGTTCCTTTTATCAGACTAGTTTTCAATATGAGTTGCCAATCACTAATGATAATCTTGCGAAATTGAAATATGGTTATTACTTGAATCTTTTAGTTCAGTTTGTAGAGGAGAGGATGAATACAGGGAAGGCTATAGAAACCCAGATTTCATTTTGATTTCATTTCCTTTGTCAGTTATAACCATTCGAAACTGAAGAGGCACTCGAAACACATCTTGCTAACTAATAGAAACAGAATACACCTTTGGTTTAATGATGTTGTAGATGAGATAGTATTGGACAGATAATTACAGTCACTAGATTGTTCATCTAATAATACCAATTATTATGTGGAAAAAAACTTAATTGTATTGATTTTATGAGGAGTTTATGAATGCTTCTGTTTCTTGCGAGTAAAATATGCTAACATGGATATTTTGAATTGGCTTTAATTGAATTTGACTAATAAGGATAAAACAGACATTCAGGTTTGTTGTGTGTTCATAAAGCTATCATAAAACTAATAAATAAATCGGATTTAAAAGTAACGGTAACGGTTAAAATCAATCAATCATTCAAACATATTTATGTCATCCGATTGAATACGTAATGTCAAAAAAGCTTAAAAATCTCATTTCAGTTAGTGTGACAGATTCTTAGTAAATATGGATGAATTATAAATATACTTTTGATTGGATAAGTATAGGATGTGAGCATTTTTAATTGTTCTCGTGTGCAGTCTAAATGCTAAATTGGTAAGTTGAAAAAGAAAGATGACGGAATGTGTAGATTTTCTAATGGTTTGAATAATCGTAAGGTAACAGATAGTTTTTAGAATGTTTTCAATAATGGTTACTAACACAAATTCTGTCTTTTAAAATTCATTCACAGTGGTGAACCTCTAAAATGTAATGCTACATCTTGCAGTATGTGTACAAAGCCTATAATTAGGCACACAACTTCGTGTATAGTCGTTTCTATTCTATGATCTGAGAATTCTCACGTTTTGCGTACACTGTTTTACACAGATGCTACATGAAATATTGTTCACCAGATCTCAAGAACTTCCTTTCTTAACTGTTACCAATTACTGGAGATGTGACTGAGTCATCGGACGCTAGTTAGAGTTAGGAAAGATATCATTTTTTATTTTTACTGAATAACCAGTTCTTACGTTATAAACATAATTAGATTATAACTGTTTGTCTCGAACTGTGTATAAAACTTAATGTAATCTTATTGTAGAACCCTACCTGAGATGATAAGTTTTAGAAATGTTTCATCACTGGTTATAACTTTTACTTTCATGTAATTGGCAGCAAACTCATGTACCGAAAATAAGCAATCATGTTCCATTTATTATGATGACATCTCGAAATTACGAGTATAATGTTGGATAAGATCGTTTTAAGAATATATTATAAAATTTATTTTATATCAGATTCGCTTTGAACAAGTGAAAAGTACAACAGGCATTTCAGTTTGTTTATTTTAAATAAGTGTAAATAATTTTTTCCACCAACAATGTTTTTGACGTTTTGAATAACTAATCTATGTGATCCAAAGATATTCTAAGCGGGAAAATTCCCATGTACCAAACCTACGTTTTAGATAGACCTAAATATTTCGAAGATATAGTTACATATTTCACTGTCATTAAGATAAATATCCTTTAAAAACAAACAATACGGTACAGTTTATTTTTAAAAACTTAGAGCTGATATACACCATTAGGAAATTAAAATTGTTGGATTACTTCTTGTTTCAGAACATTTAGCGATATCTTTACTTTCTTATTTGAAAAACTACTTACTCGCTATTTCAAAGAGTTCAGTTTGTGAATCTACGATGGTTTACTAGTCTTATTTTCACGTGGTGTTGTTTTACTTGTATCTTCCCATTGTTATTTAAAACTGCAATTGATCAGTCTCATGTTGTCATATGTGCATCCTGTGAGAATCGCCTCGATATGGCCAAAGTGAACATCAACTCTGGGATGCAGGTGCATCCAAGCGACGAGTCCCAAATAGGACGAAACGCGCGTCCTGGATTCCACTACTAGCCACTATCCATCTTTGCTTACTAGTCTTACGTTGATAATAAGATTATAACATATTCTGAATTAATATATGCATAACAGTGTGTCATTTATCTATTGTTAAGAAGTAACTGACAGTAAAATATCTTTTCCGAACCTTTTTAAACTTAGAAAATGGCGAAAGAATACTTCAACTGTCACGAACTTGACGGTGTTGAACTTGATAACAACGATCAAGTGTATGTTAGAGGGCATCTTGAAAAAAGGCTAATTGATGTGAGTGCTTTGTGTGTAGCTTGATTTTTATATCATTATTTTATGAAAATATTTCTGATTTTTTAACAGGTGATAATAAAATAACACCATAATCATATGATAACCAGTGACTAGTTTGAAGAGAGGATTGCCTGAACGTTTGTTGGAAGCTATAACCAACGAAGTTTAATCACATGGAATGTAAAATAGTTACCATCAGCTACACTGAAAAATGATCAACGATGAACAGATTGAAGTTAAACCTTTAAACTACCAAGTATCGATTCAGTGGTCTAATGTTTAAGCTCTCACTGTGGGACCTGAGTATCCCAAGTTCAATCTCCAACAGAATCGTGAGTATGCACTGCTGACTAGTCCCTAGAATGTGATAACAACTTAATACTCCTTGATTTTCATTGAAGATTTGATAAAAAGTCAATCAGTGATTTAAAATGCAAAACATGGCAAATAATGGTCATAACGACAGTATCACCTAGTGAGACTAAAATTATAGAAAGTAGTGCTGAAGGGTAGCTTTAGTTGTCTTCCCTGCTTTATTCAATCTATTTGATTTCTGTATAAAACGTCGTCTTGATTATCAATATTTAATAAGCTATTATGTATTCCGTTATCTAATTGGCGTTCTACCGATCTTTAGTAGACTAACAAATGAACTCAAACTTGTGCTACTCTATATAATAAATACGTAAATTGATCAAAATGTATACAAACATTGGTTTTGAAGAACCTATCTAATCCTCTTCAATCTACTCTTCCTTTTTACCAATACAATAACCTCCCCTTCCTTCCATTGGTCAGAGTAGTACTAGAAGCCTTTAAAAGTTAGGGCATTAAACTCTTTGGTTGTTCTAGGTTTTTCTACAGTCGTCCAGACAGATGGTTGATTTAGATCCAGTTTTTCAGTCACGAGTGACCGCAATTATTCACTGTTTCGATTGACACAGGAAGTTTATGACTGTCATGAATTCGGACCATCATTGCAAGATTCAAGTCTCCTAATGAAAAGCGTGACCCACTTAAATATAGGTGTTATCTTCAATTCCATGTTTACACGAATAAACTTCAAAACTTTACGAATTTCCGAACTGTCGATGCAAGAAAGTATTAAATTAATTATATAACTTTTCTATATACAGAATGAATTAATGACTCCTCTCCTTTCATCACGTTCATATATATCGAAAATCACACTTGGATTTTTCGAAGACACTGGGTAGGTCTAAATTTTAGATTTTACATTTAAATAAGATATACTAAATCTTGGATTTTCAGATGTCTTAAGAGCTATAAGTTAAGCATTTTTTCATAACACTAGTTAAAAATTTGAGAAAAAGTAAATGCTGCTTGTATTTACTAGTCTGAACTATGAATTTAGGCAACTGAAAAATAGATTTCAGAATGTTATGTTCTCAGTGTCATAAATACCCCTCTCTCAAGAAAACAACAGGAAGTAGAATATTATTCACAGTAATTTCTAATCTATGAAACGAATTATCATAAATTCGGTCTCTTTAAAGTAGTAATTTTATAAGCCCCATGGATGGTTCACTAATTACGTGAACCAATCTACAAAAGCTATTATCTCCAAATGTATTTAAGCAAGCTCTCAATAATATTGGACTAAAACGGCTACACATTGGATCAGTTTGAATTAAGCGAACTGTTTGCATACAAGTATTCCAATTCATGAAAACGTTAACTAACGTACAACTATGGGAGTTACTGATAATTTCGGTTATTTGCTATACCTCTCATTACTACGATTGTATCCATGTTTTTTGCCCGTAATTCGGTCACCATATTAAATAACCTATCCTATACCTTGGGATTCGCTTCATAGAATTTTATTTGTTTCCAAAATGCGAACTGGTCATACGAAGAATAAATGTGAAGTTTTCTTTTAACTAGAAAGTTACTAAAGGTTAAATATTAGTAATATTACTTTTGGGAATGTTTTGAGCCTACTCAATTCCCAATGCAATGCTAAAGTCATTTTAATATTTTTACCAGAATGGGGTTATGGAGATTACTAAGTTATTGATTGAGATCTTGAACAGATTGATGTTAGACCGATTTTCTCGTTTTCATTCCATGAATGTTGAATAAACTTAATACTTTCAACTCATTTACATTTTCGATGTATTACTTTCAAAGATACATTACTTTAATTCCGTAATAATTTCTTTATTAACTTAGATGGTACCGTGTGGATTATTCAAAAGCTAATCCAATGGGATATGGTAAACATCTTGGTTGTAATTTTGTTATGAAAAGTTGTTATGAGTATATGCAAATTCAACGGCAAAGGTAATAAACTTATTTTTGAATGCAATCTTTTATGCAAGACGATTGTATAATTGATATAAAAATGTGTTTATTTTAGCCATTTCACTAATACACTATTAATTCAAAAGTAATGGTTTTTATCCATTAGTGAGTCTTTTTAATTGTTCGAACAGTATTCATTTGAGGAAAACAAGTGCTCTAAGTAACAAAATATACGTTATAAAAACCGACATACCTTACAGTTGTTCTCTTTCACTATCATGCTCGAAAGTATTGAAAAATCTGTTTTTATATCGATGCTAAACTAATAGCACCGGGAAATCGTTGTTCATTTTCTGGTCGAACAAGTCCAAACATTTTTGAAGTAACACAAGCGTCCACTAAATAATCAACCGAAAACTTTTCTTTCATTTTAAAAATAGGTTTAACTAAAAGTACTTCAATAATACAGCGAATGCTACAACAAATGCTAAATTGTTACATGAACTAAACAGCATGTGAATTATTGGTAATCTACTATAACTGTTTGTTTTTATGATTTCAACACATTAAAAAAGTACAATTTTAAGTTTTTATTCTTTTAGAAGACAAAGTTTTTACCCATACTGTGATCAAATAAGCTTCAGTAACACTCTCTGTCTAAAGCATGAAAATGCATATGGTTTCTGCGATCTGAAGCAATATTATTCGCCTCTGCCACTTGAATTTCAGTACTTTGATGATCCAAGACTTGGTGCAGCTGACCGTTACCGAGATTATTGTCCAGCTTATGTGGTTAAGTGATTTATATTCTTAATTATCATCATAATAACATACCTGTTTCTAACGTTTGGCCATTGTACTTACATATACCTTCAAAACAAGCTATTAATTTATATGTAAGGTCAGAACTGCTGGTATCATAGCACTGTTTATTCCTCATATTCATTAGAAAGGATCCTTGGAACACAGTGAGGCAAGAAAAAGTTTCCCATTTTTAGTTTCTAATTGCAGACCTGGATTATATCAAAACAACCATAGTAAGGAATTTGGTCGAGTTAGTAAAAAACATACTGATTTAAAATACTTCATAAAAAGGATTCTTAAAAAGAGACTATTCATCTCCGAATCATCCCCTATATAATGGGATTTACTAAGTTAAAATTAGTCTGCTTAAGCAAAGTATAAACAATAAATTGAGTAAATTTACTTTGTACTTACGATCTGAAATACTTAAGTATCGAGATTAAAAGTACTGTTGGCCAATAGCCAATGTGAGCACTTATTGGCAGAGCGTAAGAATAGATTGAATAGAACGTTACAATTAATACAATATTCAAACAAAACGTCGTAAGAATCAGCTTAAATAGTAATAAGACTACTAAAAACGGCCAAAGAAACATTGGGGTTTAATGAACATTGATTTTTACATTTTGGAAAAATGAAAATGAAAACAATAAATGACGTTACTGTAAAAATGAAACCCATCTGTTCATATTAGCTTGAAGATGGTAATGTGGTGTGTGCTACTTATATTGACATAAGTAGGATATGATGTTAGTCGTGAACAGAAGGTCTGGCGGCAGAGAGACAAGAGGATCGAACAATAAAGAATTGAAACACAATTCAATTTGTATAAAAATGCAAGAACAATGAAGTTTGAATCATTTTGGGATAACTGATGGACATTTGACAAATTAAGCATTTACTTTATGATTGTTAGATTTTATTAACAAGTCCTGTAATTTTTTGTTAAATACATTTGATTGTCCACACTGGCGTTCTTGTTCACTACAGGAGCACTTCCAAGATAGGCAATAGTACGATAAACAAAACTTTAATCAAAGTCTGTAATAAGGCATTTTTTCTGAAATTTTAGCCATTTACTGGGACGAGAAATATTTATTCATACTGCAATACTCCCGAAAAACAGTCTGAAGTTCGTAAGTTATAATGAATTATCGTGTTTGATATTTTAAAGACTAATAACAAAAACTATACATACTGTGTAGTTGGCGAACTAATTTTTAGTGAAATTTCAGAATTTTCAATATTTTCTAGTTTTTCATTAGTTTCGACACATTAACAAGTAAAGTGGTTATTATATCGATAAGCTTTGATCCACTTATTTGAGTTATAGCTAGACACTTTTTACTTGAAGATAGTTTTTATTAAAAATGAAAATGATGATTACTTAAAACTATGGAGAATAAGAAAAGTATTTCACTATAGTTTAAGATCCGCCAGCACAACCCTAAACCCATACGTTAAATATTTTGCTTTAAGCACTGAATTCTAATTTAATAATCTCTATATTCAGTGGGACTTATTTTAAAGTGTACCAGTATTCTGGTCCATTGTTAATTATTAATTACTGTCTCTTTTGATGAAGATCACTCTTACAAATCGTTTCTCATTTGAACTCTGGAAAATCAATATGAAAGTTAGTTAATAGTGAGCATATGATAATAACTCTGGTTTTGTGAAGAGAATATCATGTAAATCTGATCTTAAAACTTAATAAAAAAAAAATCGTTATGTTTCAAACTCAATGAAATAAAAGTTAGTAATAAACTTACAAATCATCACTAAGATTCTATCACTTTGAGAATAGAGAGTCGTTTCATAATATAGTAAGACAAATCTCTACCATTTCATTTTTATTTTCTGTAACAATATAAATCCTGCATTAAATTGAAAATCTAATCCATATTTATTATGAATGATGCAAATTGTTTTGGATTTCTTTTAAAGACAAAAACAATAACTACATGCTTCATTACTTTGGTGGATCTTCTATGTGCATAAACCATGACAGTACCAGACACTGGCAAGTGTCTAAACAACATGAAATTTTTGAGGAAACTTCACCCAAATCTTCATGCATGAGTGTAAGTATTAAATTATACAGATAAAATATGATTATTGCAAAAGAAAGTAACTGTTTTTTTTTCTTAATTTTTTTCCGAAAAACATTCTGATTTGGTTCTGTTTTGTTCCTTTGATCAATGTCTAATTGGTTGATTTTGTGTGAATATACATTTTAGTTTAGAAATTATATACTACTTTTTTAAATCACGTTTCGTGATTATTAACGGGATAAAAATAAAGGGACACTATTGTTTGCCCTTTTTAATTTAACGACTAAACTACAAAGAATTTTATTTGTAAAATATATATTGTATTTCTTCATTTCATACTGGAAAAGCCGGAAAAAACCCATTGAGATCAATATAGAATGCAGCTATTCATTTTGAAATATCATGAATAAATACAAAATTTAATAGTTGATGAAGCATCTCTCTTCAAAATGTTTTGTTGGATTTTCCAATGCGCTATCTTTAATACCATCCATTAGGTTGTCTAACAGATTTTCTGACGTTTCGTGACTCGGTGTAAGCCACTTCTTTAGAGAGTAAATAACTAAATAGGAATCCTTCCAAGCTGCTATTTATTACCTGAAGAAGTGACTTACGCTAAGTTATGAAACGTTGGAAAATCTAATTTTTTTACTCATTGGGATATTAAAAATATATTAATTTATATATATTAAACGGTTACTTTTTTTCAAAAGAAAATGCAATTGATTTCTGTTTATACACTTCATACCATAAAAAGAAATCTTTTGTATAATTAAAATAACCCATAGTGTCATTGAATAAGAAAGAGAGAAGTCAGCGAAGAAAATTTTCTTTTGGACGAAGTCATTTACTTAAGCTGTACATTCGTATATATAGTTATCTGGAAAATATATATCTATAGGAGGATAGAAAAGATTATATCATTATTATTCATACGAGCCTAAATCACAAATAATTTAGATGGTGGCTGGAGGTAGTCAACAGGAAACCCTGGACCCGGGTTTCGTGCTACTTGGCACTCGTCAGCAAGGTGTACCTGTAATCTTGAGGGAACTGCCGCTCCCTGGCTGATTCGATCTCGCAGTCAGAGACGTTACCACTGAGCTATCCAAGCCGTGACTAACCTCCTGTGAAGCTGGGTGACACGAGATCGAATCCGCCAGGGAGCACCACTTCCCTCAAGATTACAGGTACACCTTGCTGACGAGTCCCAAGTAGCACGAAACCCGGGTCCAGGGTTTCCTATTGACTACCTCCAACCACCATCTAAATCTCAATACATAGTGCCCGCAGTGTCGAGTCACCTAAACTGATGGTCACATTGCGAAATGATCGATAGCATTCGATCTGCACTAATAAGGACTAGACAAGCATGACATTGATCACCACCCAGTGATCAATCGATTGTAAATCACAAATAAGGTTACGTACTAATCAGGGGGTTAGGAGGAAAATAGTTTATGGGTCAGACAATAGTCCAGTTGACCTATATGAAGAAAAACGACAAACATAAAGGTCATAACAATAAAAACTAAATAATACTCAAGAAAACTTGTTTAAAAGTAATAATAATAACTGCAGTTTAAAATTGCAAAATAATAATTTAAAAATTAAAAAAATTCATTGATAATCAAACAAAAGCACAAAAAAATATACAGAAGAAAAAAGCCCAAAACATATCCACTAAGGGAACTAAGGTCAAGGAAAGATGAGAGGTTGGACGAATTGTTTCTGCACGGAAAGTTGACTGTCCATGCCTCAGCAGTGCATAAAATATTGATTCGAGACCCTTTCGATTCAGTTCCTTTGACTCTGTAAATTACTTTAAAAGAAGACTCTTTTGGTATGATGTATTCACAGTTAATTAAATGCTCCTGTATAAAACTAGCAATTGTTTTACATTCTCCTTTTAAAAGTTAACCCGGATAGTGTTCCGAGATGTGTTTGGACAGTGATCGCTTTATGCGGCCTATGTAACATGCCCCACATTAGTGGAAGTTTATCCTTATCACACCCTAGAATATTAGGCCGGCTAGAGAAAACAATTCGGAGCTTGGTTGCGTAGAACGTCTTATTCAACTATTTTGAAATCCGTTTATTTAAGAATTCAGCAGATGTGTCTTCTTTAAATTCCATATTCATAGTGTTTTGTATTATTTTCTAAAAATGAATATCATACTTTCTTACAAACTTACATGAATCACCAATTAATTTATGTGTTACATAGTTTATTTACTTTTCTATTACATAGCATATATGTTCTGAGACTGAAGGATTGATTTTGATTCTTGAAAATAAAGAACTTGTTTGTCCTATTAAAGGTAAATACATTGATTTCAGTCTAAGAGGAAAGTACTTCGATATTAACGGTTCAATCATTTGTCCACCATGTAGAGATATTTGCAAAGTACGTTGTTTTAAATGTTTAATTTTATCGTATAATAAATGATAACTAATACAAATAAACATGTACTTTTACAAAAATACCATTTTAAATACGCTTCTTAGTCCACAATCTCAGTAATTTGAATCTCGTAAATTAATCCGTAGAACACGAAAATATATGGAATTGATTGAATGAAAGATATCGCAATTCAAGAATTATGTTTATTATACAAAACTGTTAAAGTAAATATATTTAATTAACAAGTGGCAAATCTGTACCCAGCGAAAAATGCATTTTTTTAACGGACCACTGGATATAAATACTTTTTTCGTGTGAACCTGAGTTGATACAATTTTGAAAGCTTTTGATATTATCTAATTCTTCATGAAATTATAACAATGTAATCTAGATGGTTACTGATATGTATTCAACGACTCCTTAAATTAAATATCTATCATTCAATATTGTACTACATGTAAGAAGTATTACATGAAAGTGAATTTTCCCAAACTAAACACTTTTTTGTAGGATTCAGTGGTTTATGGAGTTTAAAAGATACCAGTAATTGAACAGATGTCATAGCTGATCTTTATGTCATATAACAAATGCTTCGAAGTAGAAAGTTTGAAGCATTGACCAAGTGTCCCACTGAAAGTGTGCAAGATGGAAACTGACTTTTAAACGGCAATTATTTCATAAATAAAATATAGATTATAAATTTCACTTCATATTCGTATAGATAAAACAAATAGAACTATTCATATTGTTTTCTTTTTACCTACAATGAATTGATTTACAATATCCATATATGATCATATCACTGAAGGTTTTAATAGTATTTGTATTTAACTGCTTTTGGTGGAGTTTTGTTGTTTGAGCTGGATGGTTTGGTCGTGGCGCACAGAACAAGCTGTGAAACACATATGGAGAAAATCAGACACTTCACTTCTATCTGAAGTTTGTGCTGATGATGTCGTTCAGAAGAACGACCAAAGCGCCACGACCAAACCATCCAGCTCAAACAACAAAACTCCACCAAAATCATCCACCTGAGCTACAAATCTCCACCATTTAACTGCTTATCAAACAGTTAAAAGTTAAACTCATAATAAACTAACATTAGACAAGCATCTTTACTTTTTAAAGTAAATATGTTTTAATAAATTACTAGTATTAATAATTGTCAAGGAATATTATATCATTTATGTTTTTTATTTTACTTATATCTAGAAATGTCCAAGTGGCTGATGTTGAACGGACCATTCAGTGGATAATAATTGTGATGAAATATTTCATAGTTTATATCATAAAGTATATCGTAAATAAAAGTGAATTATTTATGGGTAAATTCTTGACAATTAAAGATAATTATTGGTAGAAATCAAATAAATTTCTTGATTCAATCATGCAAGCGAACATTTTTAAACCATTATCCCTCTTATCATACATTGTGTGTCACTAAAAAGTTTCTTCAATAAAATTATCCACTATCTGTTGGGTTTTTTTCATTAACAATTGCTATTGAATCTAATGTGAACTTAATCTATATCCTCTTTATAGGTTGATATATTTCATAGGGAAAGCTAGATTGTATTTTTCAAAAATTAACATTAGAATAATCGTTTGAATAAGTGACAAGTAATCTAATATCCACTATTTACTTGTTAGCATAGTTGCAACTAAGGTATACAGTATCAGACACTGGTAAGATTGTAAATAGCAAATTATCATCTGATTATACCATTGTCTTATTCATTATATACCACAGACAACTTTTATACAAAAGCACAAACGGCAAGTTTAGATTCATCTTTTGATCTGTTTCAACTATATATTCAGCAATGAATAGAATATTTAAAACTTCAGAATTATTTTATTTTGAATTTCAATCAGAGATATTGTCTAAGACAGACTACTTTGACTCATACTTGCAATGCAAACAGTATATTGTGGTCCTTAAAAATGTTCATCATGATCACTATTCTTTTCGCTGTAAAGTGTACATTAATATCTTTGCAGTACTATTGCGTATTATGTTAACATAATTGCATACAAAACCTTTTTATTTTACACGGAAATGAACGTGTGAAACAAATAAAAAACACTAACACTTCGGTATGCCAGAGCATTTCAAGTATAAAGTAAACATGTAATAATTTGCTAGAAGCATCAGTAACTAATAATTCGGCTGATTTTACATAACATTTTATTCCATTTTTGTTCAGGATGGTGCGTTCTCAATGATACTGTTTTCACAAAAGTATGTGTCTTCCAATCAAATACCTAATATCATTGTGACGGCCTAGTTCAAACAAAGTTATTTCATTGTTTTGATACTGTTCCTGGTGAACTATGACGTCCAATAAGGGACAGTCTGGCCACTCGACTGCTGTATGTGGTGATTGTTGTCACATCCTAGCAACATCCTCTATTTCAGTTTTCTTGATGATAGCCCGAGTATTAGATAGCTATTTTCCAGACTATCATGTGGTATCAGGGAGCATTTGTGTCTGTGGTGAGAGCGGCAAAATGAGAGTTGAGGGTTTCAACCATCTCTTATTTGGTAAGACGACTGTTGTCACTCTTTACTGCACAGGTTCTGTCGTTCGTAGTTTTCCATTTGGTCATAGACCTGTAGACTGCATTTTAGTGAACAATTTAGTTCTAGACCACCTCCTGTAACGTTTTACTTTGACATCTCAACGAACTAAGTAGGAGCTGTTGTCAAAAACTTTTAGGACGATTTCGCATTTATATTAGGTATTCTTTTTGTCAGAAAAATCGTTCTGTACCTGACTTCAATCAGGAACATGTTTTTCCAGATGTGTTTCTATCCTTATGGTTATTATGCAGGATAACCGCAAAAATAATATATCTCACCATCAGCAAGTGACCATCAAGTGTTGGCATAAACTTTTATGGCCATGAAAGGTGTAGAATGAGTACCTTCATGATTGTGTAGTTTTACTAACTGTATGAAAGTCAGGGGGCATCAACCGGGGTGCCTGGTCGGTAACCACACTAAGTTTATTTGTAGGTTGTATTATGTTGGGATTATCACAGTTTATTGCTTAATGAGTACTTTCACACCTGCGAAATAGAATGTGATGGTCATTTATCTCTAAATATTTTATATAAGCCACCAACGGTCAACACTAACTAGTTTCTTTCTCCTGATTATACTGATTAGAACATATTTATTTCCTTGATAGCTAATGTCGTAATTGTTAACTTAACACCTAATTTTTAGAACTGTTCAGTAAACGATGAGTATCATCTACTTCTTCTAAATCAACCAAAAGGTCAAAATCTGTGATCTTTATGTCGGACTAATCAGTACTTGACAAAGTCAACCTTTTATCTTCTAAACTCTTCGCCTCTTATCTACAAATATCACTATCACTGTCTAATTCTAGAATATTCGCCTTGGAAAAAACCGGATAAATAAACAAGCTCACTCCTATTCGGGTCTAGCTATAGTAACGATGCAACATAGTCTATCAATTTATGCAAAAATACTAACCTATTGATTTCTCACACCTTGCCAGTGTTGCGTAAGATGTGAAGTGATAAGATCTTATGGTCCAGTTACAGCTAAAATATACTTGGGACAACTCTCAATTATGTATAAACCCGTCCGTAGACGAAGGTATCCTCGACAATATTGCATCTGGATCCATAACCTTAATGACTTTTCCTCTTTAGTTACAGTGACAGAAATATTTTTCCAGACAGAGGCAATAAGTACACAAAAATAGTTGCACAAAAACAACGTGCAATCGAAATTAGTGAAGACTTCTACACACTTATCAAACTCCTTCAAAATAAACTTCAGCATTCAAAACTGAAAGAAGGAGACACAGTAATTGAGGACAGTCAAAAACTTGTTACGGAACTATTTGGCGAACCATTTGTTGTCTTAGCAACTAACTAAAATCCTTTAAATAAACCAGAGCTCACCTCATTACCCTCCTGTGAAATTACCAATGTAAACTCCAACTTACAGAATATTTCTAATTCAATAAGCACACTGAAACACTCCTACACAGAAGGATCTGATGGCTTTCCAGTAAGCATGCTAAAAATGGGGGTGTGTGGCACAATTCTTAAACCATCTGTGAAACCACTCTCTATAGCGTGCTATGATTGAACTTGAAAAAACTGCACACCCCATTCCCAAAATGAAGACAGGACCTGAAGCAAATGTTGAAAATGACCGACCTCTAAACATAACCTCAGTGGTTTCTAGAGCGATGGAAAATATAGTTAAGTCAGCGGTAGTTCAACATCTCCTTTTTTAGTAATCCCATCTCGTCCTCCCAGCATGAATTTCTGATGTCTAGGTCATGCGACACACTCCTAATAGACTACCCGTATGACATAAAACCGAAACAAGACAACGGATTTCTAGTGTCTGTCTTATTCTTAAACTTTAAGAGAAGCTTTTGATAAAATTCCACGCAAAAAGCTTCTCGTAAAATTAAATTTCTCCGAAATCAGTGATCCACTATAATCATTGTTTGTTGTATTCTTAACAGAACGCAAATAAATGGTAAAGTACAATGATCCCCTATCATCACCAGAACCAATAACTAGTGAAGTTATCCAGGGAAGTGCATTAGGTCCACCCTTGTTTCACATGTATATGTAACATCATTAAATTAGGGAGATTTCACTTATACGCTGAAGACCTCAAAATAGTACACAGCTCTAAGCCTGAAGCTCTGAGGGATAAAGTATCGCAAATTTGAAGTGACCTCAACAACCTGACTATCTGGAGCTAAAGATGGCAATTACCCTTACCATTACAAGTGTAAGATCACGCATTTTTGGAAAACATACCTATGAACTACAACTCTACCTTAATAAAAGTAGTGTTCAAACACTGAAATCAGTACACAATCTAGGTGTTATTTACATAGGAAGCCAAAAAACATGGCTCTATTATAACTTCTAAACCAAGATGGCCAATCTGTTTCATAAAAAAATCTTCAAGACAGAAACTAAGCTTACTGCTTACAAAATATGTATACAATACTCCCTTGAATATTGCTCTTTTATCTTTTCGAACATTAATACAACAGACAAGATAAGAGTAGATGTCAAAAGATGCTTCACACGCCAAAGGTGAGGATGTGGCTACACTCTTGGCTATACTGATAGATGTAAGCACCTCTCTTTAAAAGGTTAAGTAACAATATAATATTTCCCTTCAAAGCAATATATGGGCTCACTTCTAGCCTCCTGCCCAACCGTAATCCATGACACAGTCTACAGACTCAGAAACAAGGCGTATGTTCTACTAACTGTAGAAAACCATAAACCAATTAGTTGTAAGTATTTAACAGTTTATTGAGAGTAAGACTGTCGATACCTATCCGTAACTGTGACACTATCACTGAGTTCAAAAGACTAAAAACCCTGTTTCTAGACTCTAAAGAGATTCATTAACTATTCCTTGATCTCACAATCAACAATGTAACACTTTATTATGGACCACCTAATTTCAAACCGACCATGCATATAACAGGCTGCTATTGTTATTAATATGTGTGCAACCAAACCATAATGGTTTCCATTCACCCATTATTCATTCATTATTGGTCATGCCTTTATGCTCCTACCATACTCATAAAATTCATAATCACTCTTATGTTTAAAGGAGAATTGCTTTTCGTATGAAGTGCGATGTCTCTTCTTACTGTTTCAAGTAGATAGATAACTCATTAACCCTATGGATGGTGGTCAGCTATGGCCTGTCATAGGGGCTCTTAATATCTTAAATTATTCACCCTCGTGATGTACCATCAAGAACACGAATGGAACATGCGACTTAGTCCAGCGCCATTATTAACACCTCAGATATTTCAGGAGGACATAAGGTCGCGCCTTCTAAAGCATTAATCACTGTCCATCAGTCGCACGTCACAGTGCAACCTCCATAAGGCGCTCCAACTCTTATGTTTACATCCTCAGTTTTACTAATATTATTTTCATTCATACGTGAGACGCTTTATCCCCCTAAATCTATGAAAAATGTGCCTTATAGCACATTGACCCTACTGATTATCTTATAACAGTAAGGCCTGCATGGTCAATAACAGTCTGATTTTGCCTGTAAACTGGCGTGCCTCATGTACGATGTTGTTACTTGAAAAAATATATACAACCAATGCTATTCCTTTGGACGGGCTGTCAACAGATTTTGATTCAGAACCCGTTGGAAAGCACCCTCAAAACTGACAAGTATAAGTGTCTAGGTAACCCTCGTGCTATTGATAGAAGAAACCAGACAAGTAGTGAATAGGTCTTTATTTAGATCTTCACGCAGTCACAGTGTAGCGTGGGATTGTTTGTCCGGACAAACAAAGCCTCTCAATATTCAATATAAGATAACAGGAAATATAACGCCTATAAAAAATAAAGAAGTGAGTGAATACTTGAACTATACTGTTTTGACATATGCTTAGTTGTTTGAGGTTAACTCTTAACCAACCAACCTAAGCTGTTACAAGTGTTCCCCAATGTGATTGGTTCATTTCTGGTCCACTGGTCATTACATCACAGCTTTTTATATTTATGACAACTCCCCATTGTTTCTTTTTATCGTCTGTGACGGATATGTATAGAATGTTCAGCGATTTGCCTGACAAAAGTGCTATTGTGCCTGCTTTGTGATTCACTTTGATTTTGACTTCTGTAACGGCACTTCTGACCGGATAACTGATATAACACGAACCTACTGAACGACCTACACTTTGTAGTGTTCCAACTACAATAAACCTAGGTACTCCAACCATCACCGATGTATTTGTCCACCAAAACAAAAAGTATTTCTGAGTTCCTTGTTTGAGGCGTGTGCTGTATTGCTCCTTCCATTATTATTAGCATTACTATAGGTGCAAATCTGTAACAGAATACGGGTGATGAGTTGCTGGCCTTTAGTGTTACATTCATGTATAGTTGAACGAATGCACAAAATAAACAGTTATGCAAATCATCAACAGTTGGTGCCGACCTCATTAGTTCTAATCTATATATTTAGCCCCGTCAAGCATCCGCACCAGATCACGAGTGAGTGTGTTATGCTACGCTCCTCAATATTTTTATGGCTTTTCAATTATAACTTCGAAACTCTTCACTTTTCAGTTCTGATTTGACTGTTCAGTCATAAAGGTATTAATGATAAAGACATTGTCCAATTACGAATACATGTGGCATCTCTAATTAAATGACCACTAGTATTCGTGCTATCGTGATGTTCAAAGTAATTAGTCCCGTTTATAAATTTTGCTAATGTAATAAGAAGACAACGATTATCAGAACTAGGTGATATAGTAGCTCAATACATTTAGATCCCATCCAAAAACGTTTATGTAAGAAGGCCCAATCAAACGATCAATTTTTAGAAAACCAACGTGGATATGTCAATGCCTTAGTGATTATAGTTGTTCTCCCGTGCGTTACAAACTGGAAAGCACTTATAATTTACTGTTTTGCAGAATTTTATCGGTCAAGCCGGTGAGCTACCACATCCAACTTATGGCCTCTATTTACTACTTACAAGGCCCAAACCTTGTAATATTGAAGTCTAGACTAACAAATGTCTTCTGGGTATGGACAATTACGTGAACAAATTATGCACGTGCATATTCACTCATCTAGTGAATTATTTACAAATAAATATAGCAACCATATGGAGTGTTTTCAGTTTTTGGAATAAGCATTGTTGAACATTGGGATAAAATAAGTCAAATACAGTGGAAAAAATCTCCGAGGCGTATATTTCAAGCTCTAGTTAATCCATACAGATAATCAGGGAAACTGAGAGGAGTAACAGACCTAAGAAGCCAAGTGTGCCAATTCCATTTGATGAGGCTTTACTGAATATTCACAGCCAGACAATATAAGTTGCAGACGTGTGACGAATAGAATAAGCAACACACATATATGCGGTAGAACAAGAATAGTTTGGGTTAGTACTAGGATGTAAGTCAAGATGAATGAATGAGCTAGTCTTTCCGAAAAGTGGAATAACCTATGTGAGTCTTAAATTGTACTAGACACTACAGACCGAAATTTCTACGCACCCAAATTTTTCATGCGTATTAAAAGTGTAGAACATTTCATGCCCCATAAAATTAATGAATTCACGAAGTATCTTTACTAGTGCAGTTATCTGAAACGTGATTGAAGTTTACATCTTTCCCACTCTATCTGACCTGACCGCCTTCAAATGAAAATAATTTGTGATCTACATTCTTCTTATAAACGTTAGACACGATATTATCTGTTCACCATTCTATTCCTATTCTCCATGCGGTCACATAAGCAGTCGACTGCTTATGAAAACCTTTGTTAAAGAGTACTTTGATGTTACCTTACTCTTCATGCAGAAATTCTCATTTTGTCCGAACGAAACCATAGCTTAATGCTGATTTCAATACATGGCATTACCAATTTTAACTTGTCAAGTCCAACTTCTTTATCAACAATATAAACAAGCATCATGCTGTCCACGGAATTCACTAACATATCTTTAAACTGGTTATTAGAATAGACACGCTAGATGGAATAAAATAATTCCGTCAGCGTTTGACAGACATATCACAAATTCAAACAAAGCGAAGTGCCTAAATTATTGAACATCATTATTTGTTTGAATTATTCATTTTGAACAAGTTTAATAGTTATATTAGTTAACGCGTTAACAGTGATTCGAAGTCGCAAAATGATTTTAGTAATAGCTCTAACAACAGTGTTTTCACTGAATTTTTGTCAAGCAAAGCATGTTTGCAAAGTTCCTAGAACTTCACCAGTAGTAAGGATTTACTTTTAAACTCTAAAAATAAGATTCATGCTACGTCATATGATTCCCTATCAAAACGGAGCACAATCAACACTCAGTTGAAATTTTCCATCGTATTCACGTCGGGATTTCAGAATAATACTCTGTTTGAACAGATTAAGGTTGGTTGAATCTATGCGTTCCTCTTATCTTCGTTATAACTATTGTAGTTTAATTCATTTAATTTATCTCTTTATATGTGTTAAACCGGTTTTTTTAGAACTTTTAACAATATCCATCAATAATTCAGTTTTGCCACAAACACCAAGAATTTAAACAATGGCTGTTTCCCTAAATGCATCGTGATTGTTCACTAATGTAATGAAACAGTTGTTCTACTATTCTGAGTTGTTTTGCATTTCTGTGTTAGTAATATGTTGACACTACCCAACAAATGGTTTTAAGCACGTATTTGAGTCAATTTGTTTTCTAAAAACATAATTAGTGCTTTGTTCCTTTTTTGATAGGTTCCAAAAGCATTTGTGAAACTCGATCTTTGTATACTAATTAATTTGTATGCAACTCCACATATGGCTTCTATTACATTTTATGCAATGTATATTGTTATGTTTTATTCTTGGAGAAGATTCGAACAAAAAATATACTAATGAATACTATCGCTTCATATGGTATCGAAATTCTAATGAAGTGATTACAATATTGAATATTTTTATGTTATTATACAGTATCTTGCCGTTTGTCTAACTATTCAAAAATATCAGAATTGTAGTGGAGATATCAAACGAAAGAATGTTTTTCACTTTCATGATTTTAAACAAAATTAGCGCATATCATGCGACTAATTTTCTCATATAGGCATATCATGAATAGCAATTATTATGAGATGGATTGACTTTGTTTCGTATCGTGTGTTCATTCCTTCAAAAAAATCCAGTTTTCTGCAAGGCGTACTTCAGAAACCTGCTCTGTCTAACTTTGAAGATAGCATTCTACTGAGACATTTTTTTGCTACTAGATCAAACCCTTGAACTGTAAATATGACCTTATCCTATATTCAACTGAACATAAATAGTTCTTGTTTCTTTTTATCTTAAGGTCTATGAAACTCATCGTATCTTGTGTCTTGCACTAACGCACAAATTGTTTTTGAGGACTCGAGTAGCAAGACCAAGCCAGCTCATTGAGATGGCTTTTGTTATGATATATGATGATATTTATTTAAAATACTTCAAACAAAGCAACGTTTGTTCAGTCCCATCTGACGTCTGGTATTTTGTGACTAGACTATTAACACCTAGACAAATGCTGATGCTGGTGGATTGATAATGGCTACATCTGCTTACAGATTGTGCTTTCTATTAAGTTGGAACTGCAATTGTTTCGTGCATTATAGCATTAGTTCTTCTTACCTTTTCTTCGAAACATTGATCTAATTGGAATGATTAGATATAATGCTAATAGTTGTTTAAACAAGGTCCTAGTCAAAACATACTCAAAATCAATTGACACTGCTGAGATTTTGTTTAATTTGCTGTCATCTATTGTATTTAAAAAGTTAAAACTAGTCTCCAATCTGTTTATGAATAGTTTTTTCTCAAAGACATAATTAATTAGGTCTATAGTCAATCAATTCTTGTTTAAACGGGTTTTAGTGAGTTACTAGATTTTTGAGTTTTATGTAAAAAACACAATCTTAGGAAAAAATTAAACCTAGCTATAAACATACACAAGCTATTTCAATCGATATAGTATTATATAGCAGCTGATTTGAAACCTCTAATGTTATTCACAATGCCATGTGTTTTTTCTACTTGTCTAGAACGAAGCACGAAAACTATTCCATATAACTTTGTCTACTTAATTCAAGCAAATTTGTCTACTAACCGTATGAAAGTGGTAGTGAAGTCATGTGGGAGTGACGATTATTTAGTAGTAATTATATTAACTTTTAACTTCATGTTTACTAAAAGCTTGATGAATATTTAGTACCAAAAAAGCCGCTGCATTATTTTACTATTTCCATAACTGAATGATTTGAGTTGATATGTTTCAGTTAAACTATCGTAATGTTTGGCATTTTCAATCATCGTTTCTGTGAATATCTGATAAATTTAATCTGGACTTTTGGTTAGTGGTGTAATATAAGTTTGAAAGTAATTCGAGATGTTCGGCAGAAAAGCGACTGTAGTTGATACTTAGTTGAACATTTTATTCGATTTGAACAAAATGTCTAGATATATTTGCATAGTTAGCAGCTTTTAACTAACTGATAATATCGTAATTGTGATGACTTGACAAAGTACTGATGCCGCTCCCTGTTATGCATGTGGACGCATCTGTTTATTTACCATCGTGTTGACGGGTGCAAGAAAGAAAGATATGAATTCATACAGAGTTTGTTATGCAGTAACCACTAATCACCGAATAGTCTAAACAAATTCAGTTATTCAGTGCATGTATTCAATTTTCAGTGTCAATATGTTAGCCAACTAGGTCAAAAATATGCTTAAAACTACGAGAATTTGTTCAATTTCCGTTGATGGTATTCGAAAAAGTGTGATGATTATGCCTACTTTCCTGTTTATTCTAGTAAGACTGCTTCAGTTAATGCGCCTATTCACTAAAATTAATCTTCAAATTTTGTGCAAAACTTGAATGGTTAAATTAACAGTTTTTGGTGATGTTTTCAAGTCATAAGGTCTCAGGAAGTAATCACAACTTGTAGTTAAGTAACGGTTTTCCGCTAAGAGTTTTTGACGTTTATTATCTCTGTTTTATGAAAACAGAAATTTAGTTTTAACGGTTGTGGCTTTTATGGATATTTTTAAAGTCATTTTAACAACCTGTGATAATGGGGAGTATTTGAATTATAGTATGAACTAAGAATCTCAGAAATAACGTAATTGGATCAAGCAGTATTAGATAACCACAAACGAATGTACTGTATTTAGAATTCGAAATCAAACATTGAACAAGTACAAAGGTATCATTAGTTCATGCACACACCACACAACCACACAGACAAACACTATTCTTGGTTTCCCATTATTTGATTTATTTTTTTTCAACTTGATCAGACACATTACTAAGTTTTAGGTTTACATCTCTATGCCCATCGTGCCTACTAAAATTATAAAACTTTCAGCTCTGTCACTATCATTATTCACCGACTCGTTCACATACATTTAAATTTAAATTCAAATCTTATTTTATCAAATTATCGGTTCTGACCTTTTCAGTGTTCTTTCAGATAAGTATACTTGAAGCGCATTTTGTTTGCTTGGCAGTTAAATTGTCATAACTAGTTAATGCTTGACATATTTATGTATCAATTTAGGTGTAAATCGTCTTGTTGCTGTGAATTTTTAACTGAAAAGGCACTTGAAAAGCGAATGATTAATCTAACTTATTTTGAACTGCAACATAGTGCATTTTATAAATATAATAAAACATTGTTATTTTGTCATGGACAAATAATAGTAATTTATTTATGATGTTTTAGATGTGAATATTTTCATGATGCACTTGTGAGATCCTTGACCCACAAATACATCTTTACAAACACTTCTATCACTATGTAGAGAAAAGTTGTTTTAAAGTACTTAATACTTAATTTAAAAGGCCGTGATTCAGTGAGAAAAAAGTACCAAAAATCCATACGAAATTCGGAATTATAGATACTTATACGTAATTGCGTTCACTAATGAAAAATTATTTGATTATTTCATTACTCAATTGGAGTAATTGAAAGTCTCGTATTATTGTACATCACTTATGATATCCATGAATTAGAAACAGGTTTGTTTATGAGATAAATAAACGTTTTGTCTGGTTTTTATTTACCATTGATTTTTGATTTTATGAGACACTGTTGTTACATGTTAAAAATCGCAATAATTGTTTCTGCATTTTTTAAAGACAAAAATTGTTCTGCCTGCGCTTACGTACTGGGAAAAAACATTAGGTGTGAAGAAGATTGCTTCAGATAATATCATACTTGAGAGGTAAGACTAATATACTTATTTTTGATAGCCTTTCATTCAGATCCTTGATGTTACGATAGTCGTAAATTAATTAAGGTTTAGGCTGAAATTTTGTGGCAAACTATATGTTTTGACTGCAGAAAATAGACCCAACTAGCACCTGTAGAAGGTGAAATATACCCACTTACTATTTTTTTGGGTGTACAGTGAAATATTTTAATCTCTTTTCGTTTCTTTTACTGTGTTTGTCATGAAAATTCAGGTAATAATGGGCTTAAAACATAAATTAAACAATGCTTCTGATCTTTTCTAATCTATCTTTAGAATTACAATTTTTATTGAATTAATTAATATTCTATAAATCAGAGTGCATCAACTAAATGTTATGACCAATTATATATGAGAAGAGAGCTAGTGACAGTCAAACAGCAGTATGGTATCTGTCTATGAACTTGCTGACAGATGGAATGAACCGTGTAGGTAGGTAGAGACTATCTATTTGGGGTTATTGTGATTTTCGTAAACAAAAGTTACAGACTGTGAGACATGTTCGTATGAACTTTCGTCTAAATTTGAACGGAAAGTTTTACAGTAGTTGAGGGCGTTCAGTATCCAGGTAACGGCTGAACAAAGTATTTATATTCGATATTTTTGATATTTAATTATATTTCCTTGCAAGAAGCTTGAATCAGTATAATGAGTGGAACGCTGAATTTTTAAGGTTTATTCGTTGAACTTTCTTACTAACATGATTTGTTTCCTTTATGATATGGCTCAGAATCGTTTGAATTAGCACAGATGGATTCATTCTTTATCCTTCCTTGGATTCTAAGCTTCAAAATTATCTCAAAGTTGTTTTCCTCCATAGACCTCTACATTACCACTTGTTTCATATTTTTTATGCCGAATCCTTTTCACAACCACTAATACTGTTACTTATTAGATTACTCCAGCATCTCATTGTGCTAATGTAATGTAACAACTGAACATAACACAAACATTTACCAAGTTTTACATTTCCCTTATCGACTGACTTTTTAACCCTGTGAAGCAAATAAGTTAACCCTAAGAATTCAACTGAATACTGTTCATCACTAACGAAAAGTAAAATTAGCGAATTAAATTGAAGTACTGGACCAGTCGTAAATTTTTTATCAGATTTGTGTTTTATAGGAATGCTAACGTCTACTTTGTTTTACAAGACAATGTTTGGACGGGCAAACGTCATATGTAAAATGGCCAAATGGTACAATTGGTATATATTGCAATAAAGGTTGTGAAAATATCACCAGATGTTTCACAGAACCCATACCTGATAACTATCTTAATGTGAGTTACATGTGAATTGATCTAAATTTATATCTATTTAATGTTTGGTCGTCTAGTCATTAAAAACCGCGAACTCTATGTTCACAAATTGTGTTAGGATCTATCCTAAAGCCGGTTTTGTCGCTTTCTTATGAGGTGGATTTAATGCAACTTTGTCCCAACGATATGAGCTGTGAATAAAACAGAAGTAAATGATATACTGACTAGATAAGAATATTGATTGTCCATCCAATCGGAACACAATCTTACTGTTGTTTATCAGCAAATCTCCTATCTTGGCAACTTCATGGTGAATTACAAAGCGTCTATTCAAACCAAGTGCTAGGGAATTCGCAACCTGATGGCTGGATTAGCACCGTCTGAGATAAAGTGTAGGATTTTGCAGTATATTCTTCCAGTCATTGCAATAAGCCTGGCGACTGAGAAGCTCCCTGAGATTTCAGGATATATTCACTTTCCTTGCCTATTTATGAAGTCTTTTATGCCAAGTACAACACAGTATTATCAAATAGAATGTGATGTATTTTCCAATTGGAAGTTTAATTTTTACTTATTTAATTCTAGCTGAAGTAAGTAGGCAGCGTTATACACTAACAAAATGAAACCATAACCCAAAACCTCTGTTGTCGAATAAACTTTAGAAGCTCGTTAAACGTAGTTTAATAGGTTTTTTGTCATAAAAAATAGTGTACAACATGGCATAGTTTCTTATATGTGCTTTGTTTGCCATTAGAAGGAATAATAATAAAGCCAGATTACTAAAACAACTTATGCGTATAAGAATATAGTTACTAACTGGCTTAACTTGATCGATGATGCAGATGCAGAGCCATATTTGAGGTTGTTTTAAAAAGTTACTTTGGTTTAACTCGCAGCAATAAGCAAAAACTGATCATTTTTTCAGTTTAAGATCCAAATAATTTTGTAGTCATTAGAAAAGCGTTATGCTACAAAATTCACATGGATAATGATAAGTAAGAGATAATTATTCCGGTAATTATTTGTTTTTTTCATATGATTGTTATTTAGTTAATTGCTTAATGAATTTCATATTTATTTCTAAAGGGATGTAAAACGTTTGTTGCGAATAAGCCTAGTATACAAGGCTCAAGAGGATCAGGAATACCACCAAACGGTTATTTGGTTTTTGTGGATGCTTCAGCAACTGAACCATGTCAAAGTGAAGATTTGTTGGCTTATGCACTGGCGTGTCAACTGGAGTTTGGTACTGACAGGTAGAACACTTAGTTTTTAATATTATCTAGTTTTCCATTAACTGTTTTTAAATCAGTAACGTCATAAAAACGATTATGTAAAAGACAAGTTATCAAACTTAGTTGATAAGACAAGGTTGTTAAGCTGAGTACATAATTCATTCTCTAAACGATTGTTGACGACATTTAACTTTAGTGTAACCTAGATTGATTTTCTAATCCCTAAGTACCAGTATTTTTATATTACATTGGATGGTAGTTTGGTTCTGAGAATATTTCCATTCAATCATCATTTTAGTCATATTAGAGAAAAAATTACTAGCTCATTTATAGAAAGTAATGTTCTATAATTTGTATCAACCTAACCAACTGTATTTTGATATTCTGATTCACATTACATGTAAATCAATCAAAATGTGATTGATTTAGTTTACTAATTTAACCGATGGTTTAAAATATTTTCTTCTCTCTCAACTATACTACATTATTACGTTAATATGATAATAGGACTAGTCACGGTGTATCAGATGCAGGATTCATGATCCAGAATAGGGAACGAAATTAACACTAGATAATACTTAACCCAATACAATTACAAGCAGTCACACTCATTTAGTCTGGGGTAGTAATCAGTGAGAGGAAAGGAAATCATCGAGGAGATTTTAAGAGACTGTAGCATTTTCACAGCTGCAATCACAAATTCGTCTAAGCTAGACCACTAGTGAAAACCTGTGAGCACTGGATTGATTGAGGTTAAACATTAACACTGTTGAATGCCAGCTCGCGTTCGCGTGCGAGACCGTAGGTTCAAGATTCGAAACCCTTATGAAGGATTGTTGTATGTGTGATGCTTAGGATTTCTATAATGGGACGCAACGGCCGTTCAATGTCTCCAGGTTCTCAGTGGATGTAAAGGAGATCATATAATCGATAGTTTGTAGGTTTGTCGATGCTCAGTGACCAATATTATTTCCTTTTGACTTCTGTACATCAGTTACATCTAAATCGATCATATTTTTGATCGTCAAAGAAAAAGCCTGTTAACTCAAACGAAATGGTGGTTATTTTGAAATCTGCATGGTAAATTCCGTTTATAAGTAATTTTCTATGTCAGTAAAATATTCATTTCTCACTAAGTATATTTTTTAGTATGTTTTAAGAAAATTTCGTTGTTTAATTTATTGTGTCCGAGTCAGTAAACAGTTGCATTGTTAACAATGCTTTATTTTTTCGATTCAGGCCAGTGGCAGGTTACGTTAATATGTGTCCAACTCAACTGTCAGTAAAGCCAGAAGACGTTCGTTCAAGTATCTCTACTTTCATTCATGAAATGGCACACGCTTTGGTCAGTTATTTATTTATTGAGAGCAGTTTTATAAGTTACTTAGAATGTAAAGGTTGATGTACAGATGCATTTGTTGTAATAAGTACATGTATCAGAGTCATGGTTTATGCTGTTCTAGCGGACTGGAAAAAAGTGGAAGACTTCGAAGAAAAGTTTATTTAGTCTCCGAATACTCTCCAGCTGTCTATCATTGACAAGTTCTTCGGATTAGAAAACAAACTTGAGCTGCAGCTCTTGGAAAAGGTAATAATTAAATTATGGTTGTTCATCATGAGTGACTTCCATATGTCAAAAAACACTAAGACTGATAAGCAACAGCCTAAATAGATAGAGCTAATTCACAAATTTTAGTTGTATTTACTGGGTATATTTTACACTTTGGACAATATTTTCATGTTTTTCTAAAATTATTAATTTTTACTTATTTCTTCTGCTGCCTAAACAGACATTCTCAGGAAGGAAAGGAAACAAAGTTTAAAGTTAATATATTGCTGATGTTCCTCTGGACAAATATGCGTTATAAATTTTGTTTACAATTATATAACAGGATCTCTCGATTGTTAATGAACATATTATTTCATCAGAAATGTTTTTTTATATATTTATTTGTGGATCATTTATTAATAATGTAAACACGTTAAATTAGTCAAATTATCTATTTCTAAAAGTGCAATAACTTACCTTGGTTTTTAAGTTCACATAATACCAAATGTCATTTCGCTTAACATTATTCATGCTTAAAACATTTTTGCAGGGATTTTCAAGTACATCGTATGCATTTCTACGTGAAGACGATGGTACACCACGTACACCTAGAGACCCTCAAACTAACTTACCTGCGCTTGGTCAAGATTCGGACTATATTTATCTAGCCAGGTAACTGAGAAGCGTATTTTATTGTTAGAAATTTGTCTGAAAATATCATACAGATACTAAGCTTCTGCGTTATAAAAGAAGACTTACATTCGCTGAAGCTATTAGATGTCTTACTACTCAGTGGAGATGACTTCTTACATTTAAATCCTAGATGCATTTTCTTACTACCATTTAATTAAAGTTTTTGGTCATGTTTAACATGACGAACAATTCAGCCTCTTATATTCAGTATTTAGCTTATCATATATAAATTGTCTCTTGTTCATTAAGTGTTATTCAAACTCTGTGGGCATAAAGGGCAAACATTTTATCTCTGAAAATTTTAAAACCAGATCACAGATGTCACTGACTGAAAATTTAACCAATCTTAGAAATGTCTATGCACTGTTTATGTGGCTGCATCACCTATGGTTTTGAACTTCAAACAGACACTGTTGCTTACCGCTGAATAAAAGCAAGCTGATTTAATAAATATACACACTAATTTGAGAATCAGATATTTTAGTTAACAGTTTATCCCAAGCTTCGTGAGATGAGCTGGGTTCATATCTTGAACATGACCTCAGAAGGTAAAGTGAATAAGCTGTAGAGTCAAAGCCCTGTTTTCAAATAAACTCTCAGATTTTATACATATGGCATGGTTTTAGTCAATTAACTGACTTCAAAATGTTTACCTTGAAAAGATTAACTATGTTGAACTGTTTTAATAATACTAAACACCCGAAATTACTACTCACTGTCTATTTCTTTCTTTTTAGTAAATCGACTGTTACAAAGGTTCAGCGAATCTGGGTTTCTGCAGTTTCCACAACTATACGAACCATAGATGTTTTTGTGCTTCCAAGTGTATTGGTAAGTTAATTTTATATTATAGGTAACTGAACTCAAGAGCTTCGATACGTTATCGTTTACTGAATGAAGCTTTCGTGTGCTCTGCTAATAATTTACTACTCCGGCTTCAATAGTGCAAATGAAACTACCACACTTCTCTTTCTTTATTTGTTTATCTAGTTGAAAATTCTTTTCATAAGTTATATAATTATTAGAAATATTTTATTACTCTAAGATGATTTTGCATCTATAATTCTCAAGTAAACGCTTCAGTAAGCATTTCTGTACAAAATAATGTGAAATATTTTTTTCAGTTGAGACTCAAGAGATGGTGCAATTCAGTGATTTGAGGTACAATCAGATGTGACTCAGAATAGAAGACAGTGAAGATTCTACTGTAGTTTCCTTTATCGTTCTTCACCAAAGCAAGGGTAACTCGCCTGACTGCAAGAAAGTTTTCACTATTGCATTTTTCATCTGTCTTTCCACGTATTATTATTGTTAACTCATCTACTTTAATTCTACTGATTGTAATTTCTCCCCTTCTTTATTTTTGTTACAATCTAGCCTCTTTATTCGTGTTTAATGAACAAAATAAAAAATGCAGTTTAAAAGTAGTTTATATTTGCATGATTATCTGATAAACATTTTCATAAACTGAAATCCTCGAAATGTAGATGCTAAGTGATAATGATGAATAAAAGAGATTAAATTTAAATCAACCATTCTTGGCGACGAATGGTACTTAACTCAATAAATAATATTATATTACTTTTTATTTCACTTAATGCTTTATAGATCCTTAACCTGTCAAAAAAATATTTTCATTTTTATTGCTTCTAAGATATCCGTTTGCACTTGACTTTTAGGCAGAGGCTAGAGCTCACTATAACTGTCCTACAATGGATGGAATGGATTTAGAAAATGATGGAGGATCTGGAACAGCTTTTGTTCACTTTGAAAAAAGAATCACTGAAGTAATTTACCCATGATTTTAATGACTGACTCACATGATAGTACAATAAATTGTTTCAAATTTTCTTTACATATGTAACGATTTAAAATGTTGACATAGTTCAGACTGTGTCAGATTACTATTTTTGGCTTTCGTTGGTCATTTTCAGCAGTGATCATAAGATTTTATTATATAATCACATTATTAAGGATGTTTTTTATGTTTCAGGATGAACTCATGTCAGGAAGTTATTCGAAAGATTCTTACGTGTCTTCTTTAACATTGGCCTACTTCAAAGATACTGGGTAATAACATATTTATTAAACATAAATCCTGATGAAGTTGGAGAAATAAAGCACGTCATAGTATCAGTTAAAAAGATTTATAGTTCAGATGGAAGATAATACCTTTTTCGAACTAGCCAGGTTACTTTTAAACATTTTGTCATCATCATCACTACAAGTTTTGGAACATTTTTCAAAAAGATGTTATCTAGAAAAAGTAGACCTCCAGGTTAAAACAACTCTCTTTAGAGAACACATCAATTCTAGTCGAATAAGATACTAATTTTGATTTGATAGACTTTTGACTTTTCACATGTTAACATGTATTACTTATAACTCTTGTAACTGCATTTATGCATTCACCATTGTTTAACATTGGATACTATTTTGCCCTTTAATACGAATAGGGCTGCAAACAGCTGATAAAAACCCTCAGAGTAAAGTCAGTGAATATTATTTTGCTTTAGTCTATTTTTTTATCAAAGTTCGTAAAGATAGCTAATTGAATGAAGTTTAAAACCACATAACTGAGTTATTTCTGAGAAATTTCATTTTCTATAGGTGGTTTTCAACACGAATCGATCTTAATTCGGATATTACTGAAAACCAAGGAGCACCGGGTAGCTGGTTAGTTCTAGAATAAAACTTCTCAGATTTGCGGATCAGCTGCCTCACCTGTGATCTGGACGAAGACTTTTAGAATTTGTAGCAGGCGATTAACTACTGAACACGCTCAAATAGGGTTGAATTTCTTGCAAAACCGAAAACAGTCATTCTAGAAACTTATTATCTCCACCGTTACAACTTAACTATGCCTTTTGAAACTTTACTATTTATTATTCTTGTGTTATTAACTTTCATTGTAAACTACTGTAGCATTTACTTTAATTAAAATTCAGGTGGTATAATGTAAATATGTCTATGGCTCAAAATTGGAGGTTCGGTAAAAACTGGGGATGTGATTTTGTCCAACTGAGTTGCTACGAATACATGAAAAGACAATTAGCAAAGTATGTTATTACTTGTAAACGAATATTCTAGATTCTATTTAATGACATATAATGTTTCTTTTTTGTTTTTAGTATGAATGTTCATGGTAGCCTTTTTCGTTAATAAAAGTATACTTTTCAACATTTTGACGCGTTAGTAATCTAAGGGTAATATAAGTAAAGTATCTAACTTGGTATTGTTAAACAAAATGGTGAGATGCTGTTTGAAATAATGAACTTAACAGTCAATTTTATTTTTACGTTAAAACATTCATGGATAGTAAATTGTGCCACACATATTATGCACTTATTATTTAATTAATGAAACAGAATAAGTACTTCAATTGTCTTAAGTAATGAAATTTTGTATTACGAATATTAAAGTGCACTCACTTTTTTCTTCAGACCTAGAAAGAATCAGGTTGTGTAATAATAGTACTATGGTCTCAAAATATCTGCAGAATTTTAAACAAACATGCTACTCTCGATAAGTGAGCACAGAGTTATTTTGCGGTTCTGTGAAATGAAACTAGGTAAATAGTCAAAGTTTTACTAAGTTTTGTTTCAAATTTTATCTAAGCACGAAATATATTGAATTTTTTCACAGGAATAGTCCTATCACCCCTTATTGCAATAAGCTTTCAAGCACTGATGTAAAATGCTTAGTTTACGACGATGCCTTCGGCTCCTGTGATCTTCAGCGCCAAAAAGAAAAAGTACCTGGAGAAAATCAATATTTTACCAGTATAGATGGTGTTTCTGCTTCTGACTTACCATATTATGCAGGTGGATCTTCGTTAAGTGACCGCTGTCCAATACACAGGGTTTGTTGTGTTTTCTTTAATTTTTATTATAAATTTATGACTGTTATATTGCTAATAATTTCATAATATGCGACAATTAGTTTACTGATTTTATATGATACCATATCCAAAGTTGAGCATGTGTTTCCATTAAAGGACTGTATGAAATCATTCATTATGTCGGGTGCGTATGAGGTTAGGAAATTCTTCAACAGTGTTATCAATGTGAATCATATATTAACATGCGTCTATTAAATGTAACTAACATTCATTTACTTAGTCACCAACGTTATTAGTGACATTTCGCTGATCAGCTGAGTGCCACTACGTGGGTTTTTCATTGTGCTCTGTTTAAGAACCAGTTTGCTTGTCGTAATAAGTAATATTCATGTTAAATTTACATCTTAGTTGACATCCGAATGTCTACTCATAGTAATTCAGTTATAAATAAGTGTTGTTTCAAAAAATAACCGATTTAAGTGCAAACATTTACAGATTGTGAAATCTATTTTCTATCTAAACTTTAGTCATTGTTGAATATTGAAGTATTCACTAAGACTGTAGTCAGCTTATAAATCTGCTAGTTCTGACTAAAGACCATAAATCATTACCTACATTTCAAAAAATGGAGTCAGTAAATCAAAATATGATAGGAATTTCTTTGGACTTCACTCTTAGATACTGAAGTCTGAGAGGATTCTTGTGAAACTATTTGTCAGTACACTCGTATGTACTAAATTATAGGCGTTATAATAGTGACGTGACTGATGCTTAATAGTAAAGTTTTTGCTTTTCCGAAATGATCTAGATTAGTTTGTTATTTTAATGAAAAAATATCCAGCTTAGCTAAAGTTTCTACATCTACTGCTTCCTATCATATTAATTATGCTCGTGTTTTCCTAGATCATTTTGATTTATAGACTGTATTATATAAGTTTGGTTTTATTTATTTCTTGTTAGGTTAATGTAATTTGAATAGTTTGTATTAAATAGCCATATTTTAACCACGATTATTAACGAAAATCATTTAAGTATTCAGCAGATACTCAAAAGAAACTAGTTAAAATGAATCTTGGTAACTGTTATCACTGAAGTAAAATCAATACGCTTATTTTGAACAAAGATTTTTATATACCTTTCGTACCTTTGCTTTGAAAAACCACTTTACTTATATCTTTAAAAGAAAACAATGGTTTGTCTAAATTTTATTTCCAAATTAAAATAGTACTTATGCATCTGACAGTTGTTTGAAATTATATTTATTTAGCCATTTGAACCAGTAACTGGATATAAATATACATCATATTGTCGTCATATTGAAAATCAAGATACCATTGGTTTGTGATTTCTATATTCACTATATATACAAAATTATTGGTTACCTCAATATACTTAAATAGTTGGCGCATTTTAAATCTGAAATTTCTCTGCACTGACGCATATTTCTAAGATTGTTTTGGTGTTGATTATGGCAAAAATTTAACATGCAAATAAAAAAACTGCGTACTTACATAACTAGTTATAAACATCTGTCACTTTCAAACTACAATGCACAATAACGCTTTATAAACTTTCTTTGAAGTTTTATTCATGGTTGGATGTTGGTGATGTTCATGTACATTTTGATTAATTTATTAACAGATAGTACATTTGGATTTTGTTGTGGAACAACTAAATTGCCACCATTATTTTGAAACTAACTAACCTAATGACAACACTAATTTTATCAGGCACTTTCGAAGTTATTTATATTCAGTTTCTGTCAGCAAAACACTCATATATTTTTCTAAAAAATATTGTTGTTTATTGGATGGGATGCGCGATTATAAAGACAAAAGATTTTTTTGTTGAACTGTTTTTGATTTTGATTGTTTCATGGACTTGCAGAATCTAAGGGTATATTTCATGTATTGAATCATATGTTTTATTCAGTTAATTATTCGTTTATTGTGGGACTTATTGATGGGCTGTTATGGTGGAATTACAAACTTTTATCTGTTAAGGTGGTTAGGCATGACTTACGTGAGATTTTACCTTACTAAGTAATGTAAGATACCAGTGCTACCATTTATGTCTTCATTCAGTTGTATCCACATGTCGTTAAATCACCTACGTCTTGTTAAAACAAATGTAGTAATCAATGTATCTTTTATGCTCTACATGATTCGTTTCTGTTTATTTTTCAGTAGATACACTAAGTAAGCGCATTGAACTAAAGGAAATGATGACATGGTGAACAATTTTTCTCCTTGTTTTTTTTTTGAATAACAACCATTCATTAATGCATTATTAGACCATATACATTTTAACTCTTCTGTCTGTTTTCAATGTTTTGAATTTGTTTTCAACAAAGAAGCTGAATCGCTAAGTAATGAATACGGAAACACAATTTACGTCTCTCAATTACCGAGCAGAACACAAACTGTTTAAAAATCATTATCATAGACAATTTCAATTTATATTTTTCTGCTGATAAAGTCGATGAAAATAAAAATATTATTGTTTACAATGAGATTCTCGAAACTCCTTACCTCTAAACATTTGTTTTTGCATGCACTTAAAAGATATTTGATATTGAATTGCGCACCATAAGGAATAAGACAATATTTATCAGGATGTTTACTCTCTGAACTTAAAAATAAACCAAACGAGTGTATAGGTGTTTTGGGCTTCTGCAAAAAGAAACGTTTTCGAAAGATTTTACAAGAGTAAATCAAGAAACAGTATATAATGTTATTTTTCTAATAAATCAAAATCTCTGAACTAATAGATAAAATTTTACTGCATTTCAGTGGTTTTATATAAACTCAACAATTTGTTTTATACGTGAAAGTTTGATTCATACACCAATCAAATGCTGACATATTGCTAAATGAACAAGTAAAGTAAAATATTATCTTAGATTAATGTTGACAAGCGACATTTAAAGTGTTTCTAGTTTTAAAATTTTATACAATTCGACTTGGTAGCAGTTAGGTTAACATGGAACAAGACAATTCTGGGTCAACTTTAATTCATCACATGAATTAGTCTAAGATGAAAATTGCATATTTCATTTTTTTTAACCTATGGGTTTTTCGTTTATCAGTGTTGAGCTAAATTTAACACTTGAAAATCTCTTTGTTTCAGATTCGCAAAACAATTATGCTTTACAATATTTTGGTCAAGATTCAATATGTGTTAATCATGATACATACGCACCATGGATCAGTATTGTAGGGGGATTTTACAGAGATATATCTTTTCCCTACGCAAGTTGTCATAAAGTAAGAAAGTTATATACATGTACAAATATTTTGACTAAGTTAATTAGCTGTATTAATAAACAAAATAAATGTGACTGTAGATTATAATTTTTAGAGTGAAAAAAGTGAAATGTCGAAATTTTTTAAATCATAGATTACATGCTGATTATTCTAGGTTTATGAAAACTTATCGGTCGTAATATAATCTACCAAATTGTGTTGATAATAATTATCCATAAGTCTTTGTAAAGGTATGAAAAAGGAGTTATTTGTTTCATCACTTAGTCTCTACATAACTAAATGTTGAGATGAAAGACTTTTTCGTTATCTTTTCAATAGTGAATTGTGTAATATGTATTTTGTTAACACCAAACGAATAGTTTGTGGTAAATGAAACGTTTTAGAACCCTTCAAACATTTAAAACGTATTGATTTAATGAAGTCTGTACACTGAATAAAGTAAACGTACTCCTCACAGTTAGATCAGAAAAATAATAATAAAGACTATGCTTTGTTTTCTAGTACAATTGTTCAAGTGTTGGTATTGAATTGCAAGTTGGACAACAAGTTACAAAATGTTCTGATGGAGAATCTATTCCAATAAATGCTTACAGTAATAACATTAATGCCAGAGGATTAGTACTATGTCCAACTTGTAACGCAGCTTGCAGTGTAAGTAACTTCATTTGTTGTTTAAGTCTACATCTTATTTATTAATTCAGTATCGTAATATTGTTATATTAATTGCTTTACCTATGCTAATTATTTATTAAATTAAAACATTATTTAATAATTATGATATTTATTTTTTATTTATTTATATTCTATTCGTGGTTGCATTCGGTTATGTTTTGAATAAAAGTGTCATAAATTTTTACTACTCAAGCTCTACTTACTTTTAGTTCCCCTTTTTTAATCGACATAAATGAAAAAAAACGCTCATTGCAAATATTATTTTATGAAACATTATTATTTTGTTAAATATCAGTTAGTTAATTTTCCGAGAAATTCATCACTGCTCATAGGTCTGTAGCGTGGCGTCGAGACGAGATGGACTATGAACACCGCTACCAAGAAGCTCGTTCCAAATGACTCCATAAAATCCCTGAGAAGCCAAATATCAGAAGGTAATTAATGGACCAGGTCGATGTTTATTTGCTGGCGATCTCGTGGCATCGAAAGGATACCGAGATCGTGCCAGGATACAAGCTTGGTTACAGAAGGTAACCGAATTCGCGCGAAGTTACAATCGAAGTGTGTGAATAAGAATGGAAGCACGATATAGCTGTTATTAGCACAGTCAAACAAAAGCACATTAAAACAAACACTGGTACATTTGGTCATAATAATAATTGTTTTTATTAAACCAGTCATGTTCTCGTGATAAAAGTGAGTCACTACAGGTCTTACTGATTAATTATTCTATCATATTTTACAAATACACAAATTTGTAATTGAAAATGTTTTATTGAATTTAGATTGTTTTTTTAGTTGTGAAATAAATTCATCATACAGAGTTCTTATTAAATCTGTGACTACAATCTTGGTAAATGTTACAAACAGAAATGATCATTAGTATCCAATGTAAATAGGAAAAAACATTGATGTCAAAGTTGTAACACTGATTTTGCATGTCTTTAATCTTCTTTGTATTTATTTTTCTTTGAACTTAGGTTTGTTCCTACACATCTGTTGTAAACAATCGAACCAGTTCAGCAGTTTATATTACCAGTAATAACAATATATTACTTATTCAATGGATTATGTTGTATAACGTTTTTAATCTACATATTTTTCTCATTTAGTAGCCTGGTAAAGACTATAAAGTAATTAATGAATGGGTTTTGTAGTTCTGTAGTTTATTTGCATTATTATTATTTGCATATTATTAAATATACTCTTGACATAAATATATTTTTATTTCATTCATCGTTCAACTGGAGAATATCTTTCTCCGATAAAAATATCAGTAATTACAGTTATACATTAAGCAAATTTTAATTGTTTTCCACTATAGTCATAAAATATATGAACGTACCCTAAACTATATCTAAGGTCTTTATCATATTCCAATGATAGCTGGAAATGGTGAGACTGATTATTTTATAAGTTCTAAGTTTAGAATGTTGTTAAGTTGTATTACATAGAATTCAACTAAAAATAGTTATTATATTCGCATTCTCATTCGCATTTAATTTTGATCTGAAACCTGAGGTTTTACTTTCATGATCTTTAGATATTAAAAGTATACATAGTTAAAAAAGGAACCGCTTAAGTGAATTTTAATGGATTCTAAGTGCAGTAGACATAGATGGGAACATGAAAGTAACTCACAACAAGTATTCCGGAAATTTCGTTTCTAAGAATTATTTTTATGTGAATCTTCGACTTAAAGATAACCAAACTTCAGGTATACTTAAGAAGAATGATGTATTACAACTTTCTTTGGGGCAAACCAGTCTAACTTTAGATTGCTTATCGTTAATAGTTTTGCAGTTCAATAAATTTACGTGTTTACGACTTTTAATAAACTCGCTATGATTGCATAAATTATCTTGAAAAACATTTCATATAAATAGAAGTGTACAGCATGTGGAAATGAAATCTCCGAAAGTAAAAATTTCTTTGTTGAAATATTCATTTCGATTTATTATTTCCTTTTTATATTTTTTAATTTAACCATTACCACTACAAAGTATAATCAGCTGAAATTTCAGCTTTTAAATAAACTTTGATAAAGCTTATTCGAAAAGTAAGTGATATACTGTTCATTTACTTAAAGAATGATCAACAAAACAAACAAACGTTTTTAGAATCTATGTAACAAAAAGTATCATACACATAATAGCGTGACTGAGATATGAATATATATATATAATGATTATCAAATGATTGAAAATAACTTTAAGACATTTTGAATCAGATTCTATAAGATAAGTAAAAAAAGCAAATACTAAACATGATTTCGAAAGCAAAGAATATTTCCCTCACGTGAAATAGTGAAGTGAAATACATAAGCGAAGAAAATGGTTAATTGTGTGAATTATTTTGATACTACTTGATGTTTATAAATGCACGCTCAATATGAGCTAAAATTTGTTTATAATGTGAAGGAAAAAAGAAGTAACTGTGCTCCTTTATATTTTTTATTTATTGCACTGTTTATATTTGCTCACTGGTGTTTGCGACATTAATTTCCATTGAAGTCGTTCAGGTTTTACTCACTGAAAGGTAGAGTAGAAGGTTTCGTAAAAGAAATGTTTAAAAGAATTTTAAAATAAATCTTTACCAGCCAAAGTTAACATTACATCCAACTGGATGAAATAGTTGTTGTTCAAATAATAACTGATGGGTAAAATGGAGTAAAATGTAATCAGGAGTTGAGATTTATTTATAAGCTACTAATTGTAATGGCACTGCTAATTGTATTCCATCTCTTTATTTATATTTTTGGATATGCATATATATGTAAGACTTAAGCTGTTAGTTACTCTTTGAAAGAACAAAAACCTTTCTGAAGGATTCTGATGACAGTAAAATCAATTGTATACCTCGATTATGTTGTGTAATTCTGTTGCTAACTTGTTTTCTAGTTTTTATTAGTCATCTGAAGATTAAGGAATGTACTTAAAGCAACTTTCATGTTCTCTCACCTTCAATTTTAATTGAAGTGATGTCTTACATACATTTATCGCATTAAAATCACTGTATTTGATCCTATCTACATAATTTTGTCGTTCCTGCTTTAGTATTGAATCTAACCATTATGTAAATTAGAGTTTTCTCTGTTCAGAAAAATACTCTTATATTTTGGACATTTATGATTTTTTCTGGTCCCTTCTGAAGTTCATTTACACAATCATCTTAAGCCATTTCTTTGGTTTATCTTTGTCCCTATCTTTTTGGTCTTTGTTAATTATTCTTCTTATTAAATCCTTAAAATCATTATTCATCATAGAAGTGAACATCAACGGATGCATTTCAGTTTCTATGTCACTTGGTCCAGTGGTGAGCTTTCGAGGTCTGTTTAGTGGCCCCGTATCTGACTGGAGTTTGATAATTTGAATGATTTTTATTGAAATCTACATACCGCCAACTCTCTTATAAATTATCTACCTAAATCGCTTTAGTAAATAACTGAGTTAAATAAATCAAATACGAGAGCGGATTTTGAATGCGTATATTTCATGCAATCGTTGATCGCGACAGACCACAGAAGTGAAGTGAAGAAAGCGGCGAGGGGATGGAGATGCGAAGCGAAATGAGGCGCGGTGGAGAAACTGTGCAAACCAACTCGATTTAACCAAGCGTGACTCGATATTTAGTCAGAAAAAAATAATTACGATATGTGATGAGTGGGATAAGCAATGTACACACACACATTCACATAAAAACACCCAAGAATAAATAACAAGGTAAAATGTGACTCATAAATAATGAATCGATTGATCTGTCTGTAAGCTAGAATAACCCATGTAAGCTTGACATGGTACTAAACACTTATTCTGTTTATCTAAGTCCTGACAACTTTCGCCGTAGTGGAATGGGCATGTGCTGGCCCGTAATCTTGATATTTCTTCTAAACACTTCAATTACTATCATTATGAGGATTTTCAGAGACTGTATTATATTCAAGGTTGAAATCACGAATTGATCTAAGCTAGATCACCTCCAAAAACCTGAAAGCACTGGACTGCAGTCCCTATCTGGTTTGGGTCTCCTCAGCAGTGCGCACGCACAATCTTGCTCTTTCAGTGGTTTAGATGCTGTGCGTTCGTACATGAGATCAAAGATCCTGTGTTCGAGTCCCACATATGGGATCGTTTATACGCACTGCTGAAAAATCCCACACCAGGACGAAAGGGTGGTCTAGTTCATTGTAGTTTACAAAGGTGGTTTGAATTCGATTGGTTCGTGATTTAAACTGTGTAAATATTCAAATTATTGTTTGTTGCTTTGCATTCTGTATCTAAA